GGTCAATTGCTTAAAGGCAATTGACCGTCGACTCAGGACAAAACTGTCTGTGCTTATATAAGGTTGACATCAGGTACTTGTGTCGTCCCGCAACAGTTACCTGGTGTCCTGAAATCGGTTGTTGGAGTGGAACTCGAGAAGGGAACATTGAGGAGACGAAGCCTAAGGATCAATCTATTCTAAACCCTGAAAGATGATAGTCCTGGTAATGATGGTCTTTTGATAAGAATACTCACAATGTCATGGAATCATTAAACGGAATGTTGTGCTGGGTCGATGGCGTAGTTGGTTATCGCATCTGTCTTACACACAGAAGGTCCTCAGTTCGAGCCTGGGTCGACTCATTGTAGATTGTCTAACTGTTGTTTTTTTTTTAAAAAAAAAACCAAGTCTTAATTTCTCAAAGAATAGCTTACAACCATCCTTGATGTATGAACTATTATGAGAGATTTGACTGTTATGTCACATCTCAAATCAGCAATGCTTTCCAAGTACCATTGTGCAACCTTCAATGGTATCTAAACACAGCACAGGGCTTAGAAACTCAAAACGTAACTCCTTATTCTCTCGTAGCTATTCCTCCTGGCCTTGAGAAGGTCGGAATGCCTTCGAATTGCATGGCCCCAAAAAGGTTCGATCTATTTTAATTGCTTTGCCGAAATCCTGTAGTGCATTCCATCGTCTAATAATATATATACTTGTCGCGCACGCCAGATTGCCAATCACACTGTAGCGGGCAGATGTTCGAATAAGCCGATGCTCGACTGTAAACAGGTAGATCTGTATGAACTAGTAGTAATATCCCGCTCGTTTTTGAGATTGTCCAAAGTAAAGCAGATCGAATACATAGGTTAAAAACTATCTCGTTTCTTTCCTCACCTACTTCGTAAACTTGTTAAATAGCTTACTCCCACCTGCATCCAAATCAGCACCCTATTCCCCAAACCGAAAAGTAAATACTCACTTTGCATAAGCTGATCTCCCCGCTTCTTCCCCGCGACTGCAGTCAGCGCAGAACCCAAGTACGACGAGGTGCTTGAATTCGCAGGTTGCCCTAAAAGCATTAATCAAAAGTTGTTAAACCCGAAAACGCTACTCACCTGGAGGCGGAAGAGCGTTGTTATTGTAATACCCGGACCCCTGTTGAGGCTGGGGCTGGGGCTGTGAATAGATGTATCCACCAGGCGGAGGCTGATCAAACTGCCCGGGAAAGGAAGACTGTCCAGGGTAGCCTTGTCCTTGTCCAGGGTACGATGGATACGACGGATAACTGAACTGCCCTTGGCCAGGATAATTCAGCTGACCGGGATAATTCGATTGTACCGGGAATGTGGGGCTCGAAGGTGACAGCTGAGGTTCTGGGTAGGCATATGTCGGCCGGTACAAATCTTGAGGCGGTGGTGGTGGAGGGAACATCACTGGAGGAGGTAGGGATCCAGGTGATGGGGGATACGAAGGTCCCATGGCCGAAGGGAACGATACGGGAGGAGACGGAGGTCTATACGAGCCGGGAGATGGGGGTCTATACGAGCCTGGAGAAGGAGGTCTAGGAAGCGGTGGAGGTCGGCCAAAAGGCCGAGGAGGAGAACCTGGTGGGCGCGAAGGTCTCGAGTAACCTGGATAGGGAACCGATTCCGGTCTTGGTCCGAGTGGAGATGTGCCCCATTCCGGCGGAGACCATTGTGGGGAAGATTGCTGTTGCGGTCTTGAAGGCGGACGAGTTTGGTAATTGACACTAGGGGAAGGACGGACTGAAGCCGTGCTGGTTGGGCGGGTTTCAACTGCAGGTAGGGGTGGAGGTCTGGAAGATGAAGACTCAGCGCGAGAGACGGAGGCAGATGAAGGACGTTTGGCTATTAAGGGATGTACGGGTGGAGGTGTGACACTAAATGATGATTGAGATTGAAGGGGCCTTTGAGGTGGTCGGTTGGCAGAAGTTGACGCAGGATGGAGTGGGGGAGGTGACAAAGCAGGTCGAGCGGAAGATGTAACTGGAGGTGGAGAGGAAGATGAAATATCTTGACGGGCAAAGTCATTTGTGAGTGAGGATATGGTATCATTATATGTGGAAGACGTCGATATCGACTGGTGTGTTGAGGTAGCGTGCAAGGACCCCGAAGAACTAGTCATTGTATGAGGCACATTAGGTGATCCCGCGTACAACAACGACGAGCCTGACGGAAAAGATGAAGGTGATGGCCCCACGTATGACGAATGAGGGTAAGTATCTGCCGGTCGACCATACAAAACGTTGGAACTGCTGTTTAGCGCTCCAGTTTGGGCTGAGGCATGCGCTGGAACCGTGACGTCCACCGGACGAGACGTAGAGCCTGACCCGGAGCCTGACGCTGACGGTCCAGCTTCGTCCACCTCCAACGAGTACGGAGGAGGGGGAAGTTCATCCTTCTGCCCCTTTTGCGTGAACAACCATGCTTGGTAGGCCTGTCCTCCGTCTACTTCCTTTTTCTCAGGGTCTTCTTCATACTTCGGTCGGGTGGACCAGTAGTCTTCGAGCTCCTTTACAGGAAAAGTCTCATGGATTAACCGTTCACTGCGTAACCCTTCAGCAGCAAAGCCACAGATTCGCATGTACCTATAACGATGGTGTTTAGTCAACTGAAAGAAGTAGATGGTCACAGATTCTGACCAGTCTGGAGGTAGATCATAACCGTCTTCATCGAGGGCCATGAAGCGGTACTTGTCTGACTGAGGCAGCATGCTTTTTTTGCTCACAATTGGCATAAACGCTGTACCTTCGTCGTACCTGAAATCATCGATAATCAAACAGATAATGAAGAACGAAGCCAGCCTGCTCACTCGTCCCACATGGCTCCGTATATCGTCCGAATACCGAGCCGTTTCGCGTGGAAAATTTGTTTCCAAAGGAACCTCCCTCCTTTCCGTTTCATGTCATTCCACGTCCATCTGCCTTCAGTGAGGTTGAAGCCCTGCGAAATATCAGTGAAATTTTGGATAGTAAAAGGTGAACAAGACTGACTGTACTGCCGGGAAGGACAACAGGTATGTAGTCAATCTTGCGACCGCCATTCTCAGAATGCCTTTTCAGCAAGTCCATATCACCCTTCATCTTGGTCTCAGCAAACCTTTCTATATCTTCGTCGCTTCGATATCGTCCAACCGTCCACGGAGATATCGCGTCAAATTCATTTAGCCAAACGTCCAGAAATCTAGGGTCCGGATCGGCGTCGCTTTCGGAAGTACGCCAGTGTGTGGGCGTGCCAGCCATCAGATATGCACCACCAGGCGTAAGATTCCGTATTGAATTCGTTATAGCGCGTAGGAGGGCTGGGGTATGTCCCGCCTCGGCAAACCCGAATCCCCATAGTGCAATGACAGGTTTACCCTTCTCGTGGAGATAGTTTGGACTGTCGAGAACTCCTTTCTCTCGTACGAGATGGGTCCAATCTCGCTCTAGAATTCGTTGTATGCGATCTGGTGGCGCACCTGTTACATCATACCTGATGCGGGTCGTTTCAGTCAGCGTCAAAGACCGAAACCGTAAGAATGCACGCACATTATGGCAAAGACTCTGCCCTCTTCCTCTGCTGCGCGCATTACTGCATCTCCGACTTCATCACGTATACGCAGATTCCCGACCGCACCGCCTTCAATATCGACTTCTCCCGCAAATCGCTGTAGGAAGGCTCCATCTACGCCATGCTCCGCCATCCAGTGGAAATGCCTATGGAAGATGAGAAATGAACACATACAAGGAGCATATAGTGCACCTCTTGACAGTTTTCGGATGTCTTGAAGAAAATAGAAACGCCTGTTCTCCTGACTGGAACTTGAGCCCTGGCGCTGGGAATAACTCTGAGGGTGAATAGGTTGAAACATCGGGCCAGACATCGATATTGGGTTTTCCGCCGTCAGTGATTGGGTAGTTGAACCAATGAAGCCAGCCGTGGTGGCCTAGCGGACGAAGGGTAGGGAATAATGTCGAAGACTGGACATTAATGCTTACCTTCGCCGACCGGCTCACCGTCCCCACCACAAGTAAACCTATTCTTCCTCACTGAGCAATCATTATCTTCGTATGTGAAAGGCGGCGCGCTCACCACCCTTGATATCCGACGAGAAACTTGTCTTGGATTGTCCCGGGATTTGCTCTCGAGATAGATGAGTATACGACCGCTCGATGAGGTCCGCGACTTACTTTTGTATTCGCCTTTCATAGTGCATCGTGGCGGGATGTTGAAAGTGGTGAAAGTGATGAAAGCGGTGAGAGATGATTGTGGCGGTCCGTTTGTGATCTTTACCAGTTGAAGCTATTCAAGTGCAGTATCGGTCACGTTCAGTATGTTTCATCGATAAAGATCTGTCTCTTAGAATAATCTTCGTGAACGACGAAGCGACGCTGCTGGTCAAGCACCGTGTTAAGAAATTGCAACGATGGGACTTTATTATCATGGTAGAGGATCAAACTATTCGCCACCATAGGACGCTAACTGTGCAACCCGGAACACAGCCACTGGCGCACCTACAGTTTGTTCCAATGCTACGACAGAATACAGTGCTATACAAATGCTCGAAAATTGGAAGCCGCGAGTAGTCTGGCAGCCATTATTTTTTCCAAAGAAAATATTCATCGTGGTACGATCTACGACGCCGGTCATCTTCTTGACATTAGGGGGGAAGGGTCCCTTCGAATCTACGGTCGGACGCAACGACGAAATGGTCTAGTCTCATTCCAGTCCGGAGACCCATGCCACAGTGAATTTTTTGTGCCCTGCTTCGATGCGCGGCGCATTGAGGCTCCCTTCCATTCTCTTACCCACGAGGAGCAACCGGCCAGCGTTGATCAAAGGGAACCTCAAAGCCCAATGCCAACCTCCCGCACCGAGAGTGTTTTTCCATCGAAAACGCCCTCTATTTCCGAGTCGGCAGCACTTGTTCATCATGTCATGCGGTTTACTTTCGAGTTGTTCGAGGGAATTATCGATCGGCCCGCTCAGGTCAATGAGACTATGCACTTGCGGGCACGAAGCATCCATGGGCAAAAAATCGTGCGGCTGACTGGTAAACTCGCGTCTTTGAAAGCCTTTATCCTGAAGAAGAGCCAGGTCCCATCAAATTCTTCAACCTCCTGCCAGGACAGAGGTCCACAATTGTTCGGTGTTTTCGGAGGTACATGTTCCCTTGGGTCCATAATGTTTTTGAGAAAGATCAAGGGGAAGGTGATGTGATAATCTTCGCCCATGAGATAGTTCCGCAAAGCACGCAGCACCACTTGGCCATCACACCCCAGGTCAGAGGAGGTCTGGGAATCTTGAGCTCGACAGTCCAGCCTTGTGTCGAGCATAACGGGAGTGTTAGTGAGAACCCAACATCAAATCTTTCGTGCACGTCATTAGGCTCAAGTATCTCCATTGGGAATAAAAACTTCGCACTCACTGATGTCGGCATCATCACTCGCGATCCAAGTCGGAAGGAGATGATGAATCCGTAATACATGCATGAAGGTCCCTGAGGATTGAGCTTGTAGAAAGAGACGAGTCTTTGACAACTTCTCGAATCTGTTCCCGGTTGATTGACCAGTCCAGAAACTGACAACCTGGGGGAATAATAGGCTGTGATCCTTGGAGGCACGATAGCACATGCAGAAGAGCAGTGAATAACTTGGGGATGCCCTCAATGTCCATCAAGGTTCCCCGTATGCCTTTGGAAATATCCGTCATCGGGAATGGAGAAGACTGTTTTATCTCATTAAGATAGACTTAAAATGGAAGAGTATAGACTCTTACTAGAACCATGTCCGATCTGCATCGATAAAAAGTCATTTAGCCCTTGACAGTATTCGAGTGATTAAGTCAGGGTCGATGACCAAAACAATGCCACGGCCACCCTTTCGACGACGATAGACAGCAGAAGGGGGTCGACGAATCTGTCTGGCGTCGTCAACTTTGTCTGCTTCAATGTGTCATTCAAATTCAAAACGAAAATCTTGTAGTAACTTTATGTGGTCATTTAACACTGATTCCACAGTATCGTCGGATGACGCTGTGAATTGAATATAAGCCTGCAAGCCAACGTACGGCTGGACGGAGGCACTGTGTACATACGAGAGTCATAGTTTCGACTGGTCGGCTGCATGTTGATATTCAACAAAGGAACATGACGAATGCGACAATGGCGAGGTCGTCTAGGATTTGGCATTGAATTCAAAGTGCCATGTGTGTTTCCACGATACATTCTTGTCCGTAATTTAGGTATACAGGTACGAGGACCCAGTCACCCAATCAATGATGTTCATCTGATACAACATTTATTTAAGTAGGCATCAAAGGACGAAAAAAATGGACGCACATAAAAGTTCTCTTCTACCGCTTATCAGGACTCTACGGCACCTTCTCTCACTGCTTCGGCCTTGCAGGACAGCGCCGTGTATCTGCCGAATGGAAATGTCTGCACAACAATATATCCCACCGCAGGACCGCGACGGTGCTCGTGAGGGATCCATGACGACGATACTACCCTAGCTTCATCATTTTCCTGCACTCTACGGCAGCAGAGTTCTATTGTTGCATGGCGACGAAGCCACCATAAAGACGGTGGTTGCAGTGAGAGAGGCGACAATCCTGGGAATAACCGCGGCATGATCCTTTACCAGTTGCCAGGTCAGCTTGCTCATCGATATCCTTCAGATCCTCCTGATGTCAACGATGCAGCATGGATCAGGCAGCGATGATGCTAGCTCAGCACCTTGTCGATAAATTGCAACAGTGAGTACTCGCTGTGGCAGAGAAGATCACTGTCGTCGACGCCGTACAGGACACCGACCAATGACCGACTCCTGGTGGGCATCTGTGGAATCCCAGCATCGGGGAAGTCTGTATTTTCGGACCTCCTAGAACAACACACGAACGAGCTACTGGAGAAATCAGGACAACAATCTCGCGCAGTGCTCGTCGGTCTCGATGGATGGCATCTCACTCGGGCTCAGCTGGACCAATTTCCTGACCCCAAATTGGCGCATTCCAGACGTGGGATTCATTGGACATTCGACGGCCCGGCTTACCTTACATTCGTGAAGAGTCTTCGCGCGCCGTTGGATGCGTCGCCCATCATCACTGCCCCATCTTTCGACCATGCAGTCAAGGATCCGACTCCAGACGCAGTCACTATTCGACCTCACCACCGTATCGTCATCATCGAAGGGCTGTATACCTGCTTAGCTGTTGATCATTGGGCAGAGGCTGGTCGTTTGCTAGACGAACGCTGCTACCTTCGTTTGGACATTGAGGAGGCAAGGGAGAGGCTGGTGAAGCGTCACGTATTAACGGGGATCACCCAGACATTGGATGATGCCCACATTCGTGCAGAGCAGAATGATATGCCCAGTACGTGGTCCATCTCCTGGTATTTCATACTTCAATTGACTATAGACACGTAGACGGTGCCTTCATTATTGATAACATGTTAGAGCCCACGAGAATCATCGACAGCATTGAAGACCCTACCTTCAAGCTCGCTTGAAATGACAAAGGGTTGTTGTAGGAGCGCAAGAAATCTGTAACAACGCTGTAATACGACCTTGTAAGAATATACGAGTAATATCTTTGCCTCTAGGACATTAGCCTCATTATTATAGGACAGTATCTGTGTTCGGCTCCTGTTTCTGTGCAGACCCGAGAAAGCAAACCTAGACACTTGTGTGCTAAATTTTATTACCGTGCTACTAACTGACATTCCCATGGTAGGACCTGTGAAACAGTTCAAGATTTTTTCATTGTGAATACATTCGTATGACAATTGGAACCGTTTAATTTCAAGATACTATCTAACATCACCTTTGTCCGGGCTCGTCTGTCGAACAGGATGACAAGAGAACCATACCGAATCCGGTGAAAGACGCCTTTGTCTTTTTACCACTTTGCTACATCTGCCCAGTGGCTCACCCTCTTTCGACACACTATGCTAATATGAATTGTTGTTTATCACTGCTTCCCAGATAATGAGAAAGGGGGATCCATCACCAGACTGCCAGTGCGCGAAATAAGAATGCTACTAAGGGATGCGTTGTACATCCTCGGACCTGGTTGCCTTGGAACGAATCACGAAACGTTCTTCTCTGCCGTTAAGCTTCGACGGATTCAAATTACAAGACACGCTCTGTCTTCCGCTTCGATCCTCGCTGCTACGGCTCCGCCTATATTAACCTTGCGTCGAACGGTTTGTTCCCCCAATTTTCTTTGAATCGACTGCTTACTATACTACCTGTGAGTCGAGGACAGCTGTTATATACTAGGCTAGGCTTAAACTATGCCCTCCAGAAAAAGGGACGTGCCGCCGCGACGAACAAAAAACTTCCTCCAAGAAGGTCGCTCCGGCGAAGAATGTCGAGAGGAAGCGACCACGATCTCCTAGCTTGTCCTCATCGGAAACTCCGGACTCGGAGGATGTCAAACGCGCGAAAACTACCGAAACAACAGGTAGTGGCAAGGTGTGTACTTGGCGCCGGTTGTAAAATTTCAGTCCTTATGTTGATTTTGGAATAGTCTGTAGATCCAGAAACTCGAGTGCGTCGACATCATTTCCATGTATTGCAAGCATTGATCATTGCCTTTTACAGGATGCCTAGGAGAAAGTTACTGACGGACCCATCTTTTCTGGCAAATTCGACCTTTACGCCATGGTCCTGTCTTTTCTGTCCAAACTTTATCTCCCTGCCAACTCTCATCGACACCACAATACGAAGAACTTTACGAGACAAACTTCACCTACCAGGCAAAGTCGGATTTCAGTGCCCAGATCGCTCTTCCCGACACGCCTTACACGGAGGAGGGCGTAGCAGGTTCCTCGGCCCTCTGTGATCCTATGGAATGCCTGCCATACGACTTATTTCTCAAGGACATCAAGGCAGTAGACGGGCTTTCTTATACGGAGCACCAGGAGTCGTTCTTCAGAGCGTCTGACTCCGAGCGGTCCTGCAGTTACCGCGAATACCGGTATCATCAATGGTGGCTGGGGAATTCAGTCCGCTCGTGGAAAGTTCATGATGGAATGCGTCTGGACAAAGGCGAATCCTGATGGATCTTTGATTGAACTTTTCGAAGGTTTGCAGATCTTCTATAGCAACTCGTACAAGCGTAAGGGTCGTGGGAGTGGCGACGATACTGAATTCGCCTTTTGGGCGGTTCGTGCAAGGAAGGACACCGATGGAAAAGAAATTGGTCTGAACCTTGGTGGCTGACAATCAAGTTTACCAGGCGCGTCCCTGATTTTCATTTACATAATAGATTGCACGTTTGTTGTCAATACATAATTTTGTACCGAATTTGGTCAGAATCTTACCCAGCACGTCTTTTGACGACGCGAAACGCGACCCTGAATCAGAAAACCCAGTTTGTAAAGTCTTGTGATCTCCAAACAGGAGTCTCCCCTTGAAGGGTTTGCTCTTGGGTTGCGACGGAATCATCGCATATCTGCACACTGCACGATCATTTATACAGTACACCGACGAGAATGCATCGATATCACTACAAACACTATATCTATACACATTACGAGCATTCAGTGGCTACAGTGGATCCATGTAACAAAGTCCATCCAGATTGCATACAATTCATCCAACTCGTAGTAAATCCGAGAAAAATTGAAAAAGAAAATTGACGTACCATCAGATCCCGAATACTCCATCGACCAACGCTTCTTTCCAGATGATCAGTTTCTCTTCGCTGATATCACTAAGACCGTTCTTCGTCTGAACGGCCACACTTGGCACGATGGAGAAGCTCTTAATGCGTTTGGTCTTTATCAACCATGCATAAGCCTGGTCAATCGCTCGCGAATAAGCAAATGGTGGATATGTAAGGTGGAGTAACAGGCGTCGGGCACCAACTGGAGAAACAGCATAGGCATGAGTGCATTTCGGTTTTTTTGACGGATGCAGTTGGCTCTCGTCAGAAGACGCAGGGGGTGTTAGTGCGGGATAATAAATTTCATTGCCCCAGCAATGTCCTGTAAATATGTGAGAATAGAATAGGCCAAAAGGGGGAGATTGAGATCGACCTAAATATACCATATCCCAATCGTCTGGTAGGTATGTCCACACACGAGCGAGACGACTTCTAATATCCTTTTCTAGGTCGACATCATCCTCCAAGATCACACCGAAGGTATCCTTCTCCAACTCAGCGATTTCCTTGATGACGGAGAGATGAGATTCCCAGCATGCGACTCGCGGAGCGTTGAGTATTTTTTGCTCCGGGAGATCCGCATCGTACGGCAAGATGGTGAAATCGGCAGCTGCGCAAGTTAGAGGCGAGCGGGATGTGTGTTTCCCAGCGGGAGAAGGTGAAGTCCAAAATAGCGCTTCGGCGGCAGCAAGAGATACGTTGCTTTTCGCAAGAGCATCGACGTTGCTTGGCCATTGGAAGGGTAACCGGATTCGTTCTGAAATAGTATCGATGCTAAGATTGGCTGCTCGGTTGCGGATAGAGTGTACTTGGTCGAGAATGGTACTTATCCGCTCCTCTTTTACATCTACGGCATCCCAATACGTCCACTTCAGGTTCAGAAACGACCGCAGATGCTCCATCTGTGCTTGGCGATCGTGACGACGTGGAAGAGAGATGACAAAAATCTTGGATTCGTCCAGGACATCCTTGGGTTGAGATATATGGATGGCTTGGCTAAGGGTAGCTGATTCGTAAGGCGTTTCCAGGAATGTCCAAAACCAGAAAAATATAAGAGACATGGATATCGTTATCAAGGAAAAGGTCCGTAACGTCGGAGACCGACCGTATGGCCCTTGAGCTGCGAGCATTGCCTCATTGCCTGAGATGGCCGAGTACATGAAGCCCCTGCTGAGACTCATGGTGGTGGTAAGGATCAGAGTTACGTACTCGTGGAAGTACTGGAGATGACCTTGTTTGGCAAGAGCCTGACGAAGGGCATATAAATACTACACGTGACCGTGTTCAGGCCTTCTGGACTGGAAACGTCGATTTATAATTTCTTTGAGCTGTCTGTGATATAGCGTTAAAATCACGATAATTAAGGTATACTTAACTAAAACCTTGCGGAGCCAATACAACGCAGGAGAAGGATGTAAGTCGTTCGTTTAGGGATTTTGGGCGCTTCATTTTGCTAATTTGTTCCAGGTTTGGATCTCCCGAAATTCTTAAGTCAAACCATATGGCGTCAAACTCATGCAAGGTCGTCAAGGCCTCGATTCACCCTAAACTCGGTGCCCAGATTTTTGGCGCCCAAGGCCTGCGGAGAGACGAAGAGAGACAAGTGTGATATAACGATGGCATAACGTTAAGTAGGCGATCACTTTGAGAAGGATGCATACCGGGTAAATATGACACAAGACAGCCCCAGCAAAAAGCCGGACGAAATTTCCTTGCACCGTCGGGCCGACGTATAAACAGAGGCATAGGACTCGGTGATACACGCGAATGCGATGGCCCTCACCCCACTAGTCAGAAGGGGGGACAATAAATATTGACTCCGAGCGAAAGTAGTGCCTTGTGGCGGGCGACAACTTCGAGAATCTGTGCTGGGTATCATTAACCTTTTTTGGTTCGAGTACTCAGTCCTATGATGTTAGCACCTTCGAAAATGATATGCCGATCCCTTTTCAATGGCATCAAGTCAATTTGGAATCGCTTTCGCGTCATCTTTTCGAACACTCGGACAATATATGATTCATCTCCTGGCAGAACATCTGAACTTGACCGGAATTACAACACAATGATGCCGTCGGTGTAGTAATCCCACTTTGAAGACCATGCCAGAGCGATCAAGCTTGCGTACAGAATCACTTTCAGAATTCCCGATTGCAGGTTCTCAGACTAGTCCTATCAAAGACCAATCTAGTGAAATGTCACATATTCAGTATATTTGGGACAGCCCTTGGCCTGAGCATGACCTTAGACCTTATGAGATGTCGAAGGTAAGTCAGTTGACAAACGGCTTGGGGAAAAGTGAATAACTTAATGCTGGTATGTTCCTAGTGTCACGGAGGAGTCATCGCCGCCTTCACTGAGACTGGCCAAGCAGAATCGTCTATAAAGGTTCCAGAGCAACGGGCTTACAGCGGTCGGAAGCCTATTATACCATCCCCTCTCGCTGACATTCCCTGCACTACCCTCGGCGTTCAGGGCCTCTTAAATCAGCTCAATACAACCCTCGGAACATCACACACCCTTGCGAATGCATTCATCTTCTCCCTTCTGGAGGACTACATCTCGAAGGTGTGAAGGGCCATGCATTGAAAAAGGGTTTGTGCGGGGACTGGCTGCGGGAGGCGCGGAAGGGGTTGATCGGTGTCGAGAGCTAGTTGTTGAAGACACAGGCGGGAGAACACATACTTTCAAAATCTTTGCCACCCACCAGTACCTGATATCCAAAGACAAATACACACTGCTTAGTACTAGTGAATTCAACGGAATGTCGGGCGATCCCGCGCAATATTAGGTCGAGTCGCCGAAGTGTCTCGCTATGTCCTTGTTTGATTGTGACACCTTTTTTGATAGCTCTTGGATACGGTTTCAAAGTTCACATTTGTCGCTGCCATTAACATACAACACCTAATTGTCCACCGTCCTCTAATATTCGCACCTGTTCAATTCCAAATGCGCACCCTCCCACTTTCAAAGGCGCTGGAATACAACATATCACTGTCCCCAATCGCTTTCACGCTGCACAGTGAGTAATCTTGCTCCTTCTACCGTCAAAATCGGATACTGGGACACACCTTAAACATCCCTCTTCCAACATTGAGAACTGACCCATAGCAAGCATCAGCAAAATGCATCGATCTGATGGAACCTATAAGGTCTGTCAGTCTGAAATTTCTGGCTACAGACACCTCTCAGCTGGGTCAGACCAATCAGAGTAAGGGACGATAAGGCCGTCAGAGTAGGCTTTCCTCGAGAATGTACAACTCTAAGTTCGGAAGCTACCGCGACCAATCCGCTGTTGTCAGATTTGGAGTCTACTTGTTTTCCTCAGCCCCAAAGGGCACGTGGATAGTACACACGTTCGGGCTTTCTGGACTCGGACTGGAAACATCTATTCTCTCTTTTGAGATCATGGTGATATAGCCCCAAAATCACGAGAATTAAAATGTAATTTTTTACTGGTACTTTAAACTGTGAAAGACTTATCTGACAGAAATTGCATAAAATGGAACATACATCAGATTCACGTCGTGTTCACAACCGTGGAGGAAGTATTCTTAATACGCTTGCCTCCAGGAGGTGGTCCAATGTAAACAGCAGGATTTTCATCTTGTCGCCACCTTTCCACAACTTGTATGAGTCCGCCACCTTGTCCAGAGTATGGCGGCGGATGATCTGGCAATCCATGGATTGTGGGCGACTCCGAGCGGTTCGACGTAGCGGGTAAGGAATAGCCGTAATCGGTTGAAACTGGTGTATAAGATGTTACTATCTCCGGAGATAGAGGCGTCGACGTCGAAATCGAACTGGAGAGAGGTGTTTTTGGGGTGTAAGGAGCGATGACACTATCAGCCGCGACCCGTCTTCGCCTACGCCAAGCACAATAAATCAATACTGCGACTACGATGACAGCAATAGCAAAAGCGGCCGATCCAAGAGCGACGCCAACAATAGAGGCCGCATTCAGTCCTTTTGACTTTGCGTTACCGGCCCGTTGCGCAAATCCGACCATACCATCAGACGCGCTGGATACGATAAAGATTCTGTGGTGCGAAAGGAGCATAAGGAGAATGGACGAAAAGATAATGCAGCTACTGACACATAAACTGAAGAGAGAAAACTGGATCCTAAAAGGTACTCCGTGGTCAACGGCGAGGACCATTCTTCAATGGCACCAAAACACTCCCCGCCTTGATTTCGGACCAAAACTGATTCGTCGATTACAACCGAGAGATCCCCAAACGTGAGTGTGAGATTCGTTCTGGACAGGCAAGGTACACCCCATATGTTGGTAATCGAAGTATTGGCCACGACTGAAGCTCCCGGAACACCGGCATCTGATCCGATATAGTTCAATCAATAATTCAAACGCGGGAGAAATATACAAAAACACCCACACACGAGGGCTGCCGCTCCTTGAGGAAAGGTCATTGTGGAGAACATTGGATCAATGAGCGTGACCAGATCTCCACTTTGCGAACTATTCCCCAAAGATGTCGAGAATGTCCAGCTATCCATAGTTATATGGAAATCCGCCACGAGACTGCTAGAGTTAAATGGAACCATGTTCTTCCATGCAACGTCCCCGTCGTAATACGAAGGATCCGGTTCGAGCCAATGGAATACACCACCGTTTGAGTCCGAGTCAGATGCTATAGACTGAGTATCATCCGGTGCTTGATTGAGCGCCATTCCAAAACTAAAGTTTGTTTGAGACGGGTTCTTTGACAGCCAGCCACCATAGACGGTAGCGTCAAAATTGCCATCTCCTACATATATACCGATCAGCATAGGTCTGAGAGCCCGATCATCGGACGACGCACTAGCGTTAGTCCCAAGACCGATGATTCCAGAGTGTCCAGGTGAAAATAGCGAATCAGATTGATTGGCAAGGATAACTGGGCAACCAAGGGCATGAGAACGCAGTGGGAACGCCGGTATTTTAGTGTACGTACTGGTTTGATTAGGATAGAACCAGCCAGATCCATTGCTCAGCCTAAGGCTGCAGTCCTCCGTGATGAGATTCCCTCCTGCAGTTGCATTTACAATGGAAACATTTTGGCTGCCGGGTAGCTGAGCAACAGTCGTAGATGCGCTTTGGTTATATCTAGAGGAACGCACATCAGCTTTTCTAGAGATTATGTTTCAGGATTGAGAGGAACGAACGGCGTAACACCATCGCAAGTATCGCATGCCGTTCCTGCGACAACAGTGTATCCCGTTCCAAAACTGAGCACAAACGTGAAGTTCTGTGATCGAGGGCCGGGGGACTGAAGAGCGTGAATAAGTAGGCAACTCATAAGAATTAGACACACCATATTCACATGGACAGAATTTTTCTTGTTGCTGTCAACCGAAATAGGAACTTGTAGTGTCCCGGGAGGCGCATCCCTTCTCTGAAGGTCCAAACCAGCTACGAGGAGCAAGCTGGCAGCGAAACCGAGGCAGATTAGTGAAATCTTCATAACGAAGCAACAAGACCAGGTCCTAACGCCATGGGTCCGGATGGAACAGATTTTAATACTAACACCCTCAGAAGTGCGGAACCCTTCGCGAAACCGTAAACGGTGAGGGCATATTTTTAGTTGCATAAGAATCTCGGTGCTTGATCCACTGAGCACTGGTTTCATGGAGCGCGTACGAAGCGTTTGAAACCGGAGTTGACCATTGGAAGATCACAAAGATGTGATTCCCATGATGGTGGAACGACACCAGGCATGATGGGAAGAATTTCTGGTTGGATCAAACATGTGTACCTCCAGACGGTCAGATCCAAGGAAAACAGCGTAGTTTAACCCACAGATTATCGTGCAAATTTACCGCCAGAGATGATTCATAGGGATGTGCACGGTACCACATGCCGACGGTAAGGTACGGTTGATGTCAAATCTGTACCGTGTCCGTCGTCCGTATACGGACAGTGACGACGAATATCTAGAGTCAAGATGTGAGTATTAATAGCTCCATCAAGACCATATGTACTTACCTCGATGGCATTAGATTATCCTTGGCTCTGCATCAACAACCGTACTTCCGTATTTTGGGTCGTCGAAGGTGTCCACGGTACGGACTGTATCCGTATCCACTGTATTACGGATACGGTGTACAACCTAGCTCCGAAGTCTCGCCCCCTGAAACCACAGTCATGTGATCGAGCCGGCCCGGCTTAAGCCGTTGAACTTGTTACGCGACTAGCGCGAAAAACAACGAATGTCCCTCAGGTGATTTGACTCATTTTCGCCTCGTCGTAGTAATCCCTTTACTTCTGGTATCAAAATGCTAATCAGTTCTGTAGGGTCTTTCACGTTGAGGCTAGCAGCTAGTTGGTATCATTTTTTTCTCTTTTTCTTTAACCCCGTCCCCTTCTGCTCATATCAGTTCATAGATAGCATCCGCCCCTCCAATTTCTGTTTTAAACAGCTCTTTATTATTCAAGGGTGTGCCGACACCATTTATTTATCACTTCATCAGAATTCAAAAAGTCCTGGTTGACACCTCCCAAACCACAAGTACTAGTAGCATGGAGGAACCTTCACCAGACGACTTCTACACTGATTTCCTCCGTTTCTACGACAAGAGTCCTACTTCCCTTATCGATATGCAAACACAGTTAGCACCCGCTCGAGCCGCCGCCAACTCCAATATCCCCATTGTTGTCCTCTTCGCTCAAGTGAAGAGCGCGGTTCACTAGTCCTGATGCACTGACGATGGCGACGAAAGAGCTATTGGATGAAATTCTCAATGAAGAGATGCAAAGGAAGACGGACACTGACTTTGAGCTACTTGTCCGACGGCGAGATTGGGATCGACTACTCTCAATGTTAAGTATCGTCAATGAGGTTTTCTAGCAGTGCACCTCCGATCGTTGTGGATCCTTCAATCCGGCGGATCTCAGGCCCAGATCCGTCCTAACATCTTTACACAGGCACTCGGGCCCTCCACAAATGCTCCACCATCTCTCCTGTCTTGGCGCAGCGCACTGCAAGGTACGCGATATATCCAGATTCTGTGGTTCTTGCTGACACCGTCGTCTAGGTCTATGCGTCATTGATAAGATAGGTGGTGGTGGGCGATAAGTCGAGATGCGAACGTCTTGAGTCTTATAGATTTCAGCTAACGAGTTTACTACAGAAGTTGGTGTTGAGAGACGGAGCACGCGTTGAGAGGAGGATGGTGTGGGGCAAGAGATGGGCATTCGCGGATGCACACTTACAAGTCAATGAGTGATAGCACATTGCATCCGAGGTAGCGGGGAAGGGGATGATGTGCGATCACCGAGTTGGACACCGAGCAAAAAGACTGCCAATGTTCCGCTATAGTCGTACCCGTTAATGGTGACTTCCCCGTCCACTATTACGGAAGTTTCTGCGTCGTCGCCTGGTTCGTCTTCTCTCTCCGTCTCTGCTCTTCCTCTTTCATGGCCGCTTATATGTAGAACGTTGCTTCCAGAAGAAGAACGGTTGAGCCTACCTAAATTATCACTTCGCCTTCCCGTGTGTCATTTCTCCTGCTCCATAATCCCACATGCTGACTCGTCGAGTAGAAAACCAACCCCCCCTTTCCTGAATGCCAAATTCTACGTTCTTTACTTCTGCTCCAAATTGCTGACTGCAAACATGGTACAAGAACTCGAGTTGTTTGCCACGCCATCCCAGCAAGTACTAAACTACTACTTTGCCTTGGTTCTTAGCATTTACCCCAATCTCGTCGCTGCCCAACCCTGGACGACAACAGAATCCTCAAGGGCAGCCTCATTGTAAAAAACGAGTTTAAACTTGGGGCAAGGGTCCCATGAAGACCTGAACGTCCTGCTCGTGAAACAACAAGGAAAGTATACAATGCAGTAAGCATAGCGCATTGTCTGGTTATGATTACTAGGTGGCATGATACTTGGCATTGTTCGGATTTCAAGCCAAAATGTGGCAGTGGGCCGCAGTACATAAAGCACCAGCACTGATCCAAACACCTACCTCTAAATTTGCCCGCTAGTCAAACCAACCTACTATTATTCAAATCCTAAACACCTCCGCTCTCTCAGCTATGGACACCTTTACCGACCTCGACTTCGACCTTAATTTGAGTACCGACGAGGCCCTTTTCCAAATTTCGGGCAAAGAGTTTCTCGACGGCGACAGTGACTCCTATGGAGTACCGGTTGACGCTGAGCGGTACGATGCGGGTGACATCACCGCGATGTGTATCGTGGCTTGAGGTTTGCGCGATCTCTGTCCAGTCAGTTCACGCATTTACTGACTTGATCCATAGACCCTTTCTTAATACCAGATTATTCGCTCTCAGCCAATATAAATTATCTATTCATTTTCTCGTGCGTCTTTCTGGCCCTGCTCTATCATGCCTGACTGATGACTCATTTTTATAGAACGGCTAAATTCTACGGTCTTTACCCACTCCAAATTGCATTATCTCTCCTAGATTTATCGTATGCTGTTCCTCTAATTTTGATGGCCCGGCTGCTGACGAGTTACAGGCCCTTTGACAGTGTGCGCGCCCTTTTCCTTTTTCTTATTTTCTGTGATATAGTATCCCTCATTATACACCTGATGACTATGTTATCGTTTATATTACTTTCTCTTTCACCCCACGCTTGTCTTCCCTATTTTCTTCGCGCTGCATATCCTCCGTTGTATTACCAGATCAAGGGAAATCCGAATAATGGCCCCTCTGTATCGTATTATTGGGGTGAGCACAGGATACCCTCAGTTTCAGTCACTTTGTGCCTACAACCCTTTCCATGATGCAACTTCTTATTCCAGACTGTCAGGTTGACTCTGCTTGACACGTAATCTTACCTTCAGCAGCCATCGTCATCCATCGCCATCAAGTTCTATGATGATTGCAAGTACCGCAGCGAAGCTGCCCGGTGTCTTGCGTTGATTGAAGTGATGCCTCGTATTTGAATGTACTTTTTTTTCTGCCTGCAAGTCCTGTATATTTCACTGCTATTGTATCTACCCCAGCGAACCACACACCTACATACAAATCAGAGTTCACTAAGCTGGCTAGGCGTTACGGGTCACCATCGCACCATTCTTCATTGCAATCCCCTCCTCATCAGAGGAGCGCATTCCTGCTTACAGGGCATGGCGAACGTCACCAACATTAGTAGCTCGGCTGTAGGCCTGCACACACCGGGGCCCATCACTTTGTCTGCGTTCTGCAAACCTGTCATAATTAAGCCAACCAGATTGACCGCCGGTATTCACGGCACCCATGCCAACGAAATGGCATGGGCAGTGACTACGGTCCATACCTTAAAGCTCATCTGCGTCTAGCGATGCAGCGATGGGAATGCCAGCAGTAGCGTCAAATTATACAAACTGATCTTGAGTGTAGACGGAGGAGTCTCGCCGGTGAATCCTTGACAATCCGCCGTAATAGTCTAACATCTATCGTCTGTGGAATAAGACGAGGTAGTTACCGTGGTGCAAGAATGTGCTCATACACAAGTCCAACGATGGCTGACGTGCAACTGAGCCCTCCGGTATCGGTCGGTGATCTGGGGCTGAAGCTTCCCATCATTGTTCCATGATGCTGCATCGGAGACAGCACATAACACATATTTCTATGCCTTATCTTGTTTCAATGACTTTATATGAGAAGCCCAATCTTGACAATCCGCTACATGCTGAAGGCCAAGTTATGAGATAGGGCCATCATTGATCACTTCGAAGTATTCATTGATGTAGATGTATCCCAAGCCTGGTAAACTTGGCGGATAGATCTGAGGGGTGAAATAATTGCTGGGGTACAAGAGGATTATACGGCATCGAGTCAAGCTGAGAGGCATGTCGCAAGGATCGAAAAGTTTGGAAAGAGCAGTACGAGGCTCAAGAAAGTCGTCTTTGCCGCCACGATACCTCTTTCCGGTGATTAAAATGGTGGAAGAACCGAGGGTGAAAAACCTCGAATTGGAGATTGTCATAGCAAGAACGGAGTTGCCTGAGTGAGTCTGGAAGATGATGACGATCCGCAGCTACGAAGTGGAAGTCCACTGCAGTTCAGAGGTCGATAGGCATACACTACGCCAATGGCTACAACGGAGGAGAGGCAAAGAGGTTCCGGATGTCGTCTCCAGATCACTATACGTAGGAGTCTAGTATAAATATGAGAAGTCAATGGGGGAACTCCTCAGGAGTTTGTAGCCCAAAGACTAAAGGTCTTACAAGCATGTACTCTGGATACAGTCCAAATCTCAACAGATCATCTCTTGAATTCGGAGATTTTGTGATATCATTTTTGTTGTCCCGATTTTCCTCCGTGACTAAAGTCAAGACAATAGCTCTGGAACAAGCTCATGACAACCCATATGTGAAAGCGCAATAGTATTGATACAATTCTTATTCATATTTACTTCTGGATACCCCACTCGAACATTTCGTTACTTTTCCCGTCTCTTTCATTGACCAGTAATCTCGAACATTCCTGTCCTGCGACAGGAAGACGAAGCATCTGATTTCCGCCTTCGAGGGGAAATGGAACTTGCGCAGGGATAAGCCCTGCCTGTAATAAAGCTGTTCCCTGATCCCACCAAATGTGTTCTATCAACGAATCAGTGGAAGATTAATCTACAGTCCTACAGAGACGCTAACCGTGGTATAGTCGGTCGCCGCGTACGTTCACGACGCCCAGCATGGGAATCTCTAGCTTTTTCCCTGTCGGAGGAACAGCAGGTAGAAGCCAATCAATGGTCTTGTCATGGGTGCATTTGAAGATGAATTCCTCTATGAACAGAAGATAAGCGATATAAGTCGGTGCCAACGATAGAAGTACACGCACCGACAATGCGATCAGGACCGACGGTTCGCGAAACGGTTTCAAGGTCAGTATCAGCCGGGTTACTTACGCGGCTGGATAAGCTGAAGATGATAGGCTTGGGGGAGATTACTTACGCAAAGATGAAATGATCTCGATAAAACGCGGTCAAATTCTGCCGGCCAATACCGCCAGTCATCTGTAATATGCGTAGGGAATCAGCATATGATACAACACATGAAAACACCTTACAGTGGGTACATGGTTGACGTAGGGCTCTTGCTATGATCAATAACATTCAAATCGTCCCCTGGAAGCGGCTAAGTAAACAACATACCACCATTGTTCCCATAGTTTGGGACACACTTCGGATTTCGAACTCGAAATACACATGCTCATCCCAAATTGCCTCAATATCGAAATAGGGCCCGCCAATATGCCTCCTGAGAAAGACGACGTTTCGTGTATGCGCAATAGAAGCGAATGTTGGTTTGTAATCCTCAGCTTGAGGCAGAACAAAGTACGGAGATGGAGTCGTGTACTTATAGACTGAAGTGGACGCCGTGGCTTCAGGTGCTTCATGTGATGATGGTACGTGGAATGTTATGGGAATGGTAGACGTCACTTCCACTGCAGCACCAAATGAGACAATACATGAAATGCGCGTATCCGTAGATATTGCGTCAAGAACTCTGGGAAGTATATCAGGATAGCAAACTGAAAGGTAACAACATCAGTAAGAAAATAATTCGAAAACGAAACATGTTCCTACGCACCAGTAACAGCAAACTTGTCCCTAATGTCAAGTTCTTTCAGATTCAGCAGGGCATCTACACCCTTTGCTAGACTTTCTTCGATAGACCAGCCCAAAGCAGATGGAGTGACCCCAACAACAGCAAAACCTTCCTCCGCCCATTTTTGCACCGGTTCCGGATCCAGTGTCTTATCAACTTCGGTACTGACTTCGAATGCTGACACCGGAGGTAAGAAAATAATCATCCCGGGGCCTGTTCCGCGACGAGTCAAAGGCGGTTGAAGAACCGCATTCTCGCTCAAGGTAACGAGCGGGGCCGAAGGCAGGGGAACAAACTTTTCATTAGGTGAGTCGGGATCGTAAAATGCAGGTTTTGCCATGGCGTTGGACTGGCGAAGTAGACGTTATCAGAATATTTTTCCTATCCAAAAGGCCTGTAACCTTTGCAAGATAAGTATCCTGGATGCCTGAACTTTCATAGAATAGGTTGATAGGGACGGAAGTAAGATAGGAAACGGAACGGCCGTTCGGATCCGTGTGATCCGTCCGAAAAATCCGATCCTTCGCTACGTGCTCGTCGATGGCCTTTCGCCTGAATAAAATGGACGTGCGTTGGTGTACGAAATTTTGGACACTATTAGATCACCTATGTCGAAATACGTCCGGGAGTCGCAACATAAGGATCTCCTTATAGCAAAACCGACGCGTCGCTTCGACTGTCCGCCGGCTTTCAATTTATGCCAAAGCAGCAATAGGTCCTCTGAGCGTTCTGGCCTTCTTGCTGCTATAATACTTAGAAAGTGTCATGCGAAATAGGGCGGTTTTTGTTCCAAGACAAAGTGCAAAGTGCAAGACAGTTGGCGTAATAAAACAAAGTCATGTCATGTTTTGAGCTTAAAAGTAGGCGTCGTAAGACATCTTAATCATTTTGGATCAACGGCGGCGCCATCACAGATATCCAAGAAGTCTACACATTTTGTTAAAAAATGTTAAAAGATCTTAATATTGAACAGGTCCATTCGTCTCCCGGAGTAAATGGAGGTATGTGAGGACCTTGGTCTTTTCACAATACTTGAGCCGAATGAGTTCGCATAGCAACCACGGACTTTGCGGTGGCGAAGTCAAAGCTTGAAAGAAGACAATGCCACCCTTGTCTTAGACAAAGTTGACTCGGAAGTGTTCGCCCCTTGTTCATTGGATATATAAAGAGCGTTCTCCTTTCGTCGATCTACAACGCTAGCAGTCTCCCCTATCACACCACGTCATTTACCTTCGAAAATACACCAGTATGGCAGATATCGAACAAGGACTTACCTCCAGTGGCACCGACCATATCAACACTCTCCCGAGTGAACTACTCGCCGAGATCTTTGCATACGGCGCTACAAACCCACGATATCCATATCATATTATCATCCTCGGTAGGGTGTGCTGGAGGTGGCACGCCCTAACGCTAAACTTTCCTACCCTCTGGACGAAAATCTACATCCCTGTCAACGTTGTCGTCAAAGGATGTTTGATCCACCGACCACGCTATGAGAGGACCGCAATTGACAAACAATGGTCCTCGAAATTGCGGGATACAGTGGAGCTCTACCTGACGAGGTCAAAGACGTGCATCATTTCGATCAACTTCGTCGAAGCTCTCTCACCCAGAAACTGGGGATGGGAGTATACGTTTTGGCAACTGTCCTTCGACAAATTGGCAGGGTTGCTCCGCAAGCACATGCACAGATGCTACGAGCTTCATGCTTTCGTCGACGAATGCCCGCGCGTATACGATCTTCTCTCCGAGGCAAACTTGAAATTGCCATTGCTTGAGAGCCTTACACTCCCGAAACTCTTGGATCTCCCCTTTGTCCGATCCGCGACGAAACTCCATACGATACGAACCGAATTCGTCGAAAAGGACCTCAAAGAATTGGCAGTCGAGAATGTGGAACTTGCAACCTGGACGCCTGGGGAAAATCTCATGTCCTTTCCCAAAGCCAAGGCCGTTACGCTGCTCCCACCGCCGCCATGTTCGACAACTTGGCCGCACGCAAGAGTAATTGCGGTGACCGGCCGGATGTTCTGCAGTGACTTAGTCTCCAGTTTGACAGTCGCAGGCACCAGAAATACGATGGTAAAAATTGAAGAGATGCTCTGTAAAGTTGAGTTTCCGAACCTTGAAATATTAAAACTCGTCCACTTTGATCGTACGGGACCCCCTTTGCGCTTGAAATCCATATGCAGGCCGCTAAAGGGGACTTCGACAATGAAGCAGCTCGTGTTTCAGGGGTTTGCTATCCGTTTGCCGGACATGCTGGACATACTCAGGATGGTTCCGCGCTTGACGTGTCTGAGTATCTACGACTCGCCATTCCCGCTCTTCGGACCGTACAGGCCAGTTTCGAACGCGCTTTTGGGAGCGTTGGCAGACACGAAAATAGTTCCCGATTTGGAGAGGCTCAATATCTTCTGGCGACATGATCTCGACATAGATGATAGTCTGGTCAAACGTTTGCTCGACACGCGACGAGATCGTCTTATTGATGTTGTAGCACGCCAGGACCACGTAACACCACATATAGTGTGCTCCCGTATCATATGCGCAGCAATCCATGAGACATAGAGCAAAGAAATAGTTTGTAGGGTCGCGAGTAGAAATCAGTGCCGGACAGCTTTTAGTTTCTTTTGAAAACAATGTTCTCCCAGTGAGCTCGATTTTCCTAGAGAATAGAAACTGCGGTGCTTTTTCCAGCTCAGAGAATGTGTGGAAATCGTAGGTCACCAGGACAGTCTTGACTTGTGCAGCGAGGATGCTTGTCGGGCCGGGGACCGACAGATTTTGAATTGATCGACCGGCCCTCAAGCGCCTGATTACCCTCTCCGGGACGTCGGTCCATCGAGTTCTTTTTAACATAAGTGTCTTGCATAGACTGAAGTGATGGCTTGTATCTGAATGTGCTTCTTTTTCTCTTTGTTCCTGCGTTGTCTTATCGAATGAACATATGCTGCTATAGAACTACGATGTTTTTGAATCATTGAGGTACACGACTAAGGGGAAGCATTCTGCCGATGCCAACTGAACCACACGCCTTTGTTTTGACTGCAAGTCCTGTAGAGTTCACTGTCATTGTATCTACGCCAGCGATCCAACATGCAACTGAGTCCTTCGGTATCGGCCGGCGATCTGGGGTCGAAGTTCCGGTCATCGTATCGTGACGCTGAAGACGAAAACATGACATTGCGTCGGAGACAACACTCAGCACATATTTCTACGGCCTGTCTCGTTTCAATGTCATCATAAGAGTCCAATCTTGACAGTCCGCTACATGCTGAAGGGTAAAGTTATAAGATTCTACAAATGGAGGAGGATAAAGACAGAGAGGGAGAGACCAACCTTTTTGAGCGCTTGCAAGTAGGAACATCGTCGTTGAATGTAGGATTCCTTTTCATCTTCCGGTAAGGAGAGATAGCAGTCTTTCACCTGCTCAAAATCACGTCGGAGAAACACGGTATGTTCACCGGTCGTTCGTTCTCGTCCTTGCGAAGACATCAGCAACGATAGGACAGCAAAAGGGAAAGATTCACATACTCTTCTTCATCTTGGTGGGAATGAGAAACAGGATACGAGATGCGAGGAAGTACTCTTTGCTATTCTCGTTCTTTGGGAAGACCGCAGCGTCAGAGATGATCCTAACGACACGAATCTGAGGGGGGATTCGACGACAATTCGCAAAGACAGTCATTTACTCATTTTTCGTGCAGGCGCTACAGGTTCGAACACGAAAGAGGAAATCAATCCTGCGGATCCCAGTTTTGGAGCAAAACTACCACCAGGCACACGCGGGTGAGACCACTACTAACTTTGCAACAGCACAGACGTACGTGGCAAGTAGAATCGAAAGCAAGATTTGCCCATGCAGGTTCTGAAACTCCTGGGGGTGGACCGGGAAGCTTGGGAATATCTGAGCGAGCGACCCGCCATACGATTTCCGACGATCGGCTCATCAGTACGGAACGAAACTGTGAATTTGCACGAGAGAGACGAAGTAGGTCGAAAGGGTGCAATAATTTGAATACCTTGATAAGCGAAACTAGATCACGTACTAGCTATCGAGGAAATAGTATATATCCCACCTCGAACCATAGCTCCAAAGGAAGATTCATAAAGTTCTTCATTGAACTTGAGTTTGCCCGTGATATCTTTACAAGACGAGAGTTTTTATTGTTGTAATTCACGTCGGATATGACCCGCCTAGGCGCCATAGCGTCTGCTCAAAGGATTCTGACAAACGGAATGATGTGGTCGAGCCGGAAGGAGCGACGGGCACGTGCATAGGTCCACTTTGGGCATCACCGTCGAACTTCCATGATTGACTACATAATATCGTTTCGACAGTGTTGATGTATATTATACATGCAAATATAATAACCAATTTTAAAATTTCGAAGCTCAAGCTGGTTGAACAGCAACTTCGACGCCTCTGAGTCGCTCTCAAGCACTGCATCCTCTCTTCCCTCAGTGATTCTACAACAACCAGAGCACCCAAATCACTGGAGACGGATAAAGGAAATCACGAGGCTAGTGACATGGACCTTCGCCAAAGTCGTCTCATAATGACAAGACTGTGAAACACTCAAGTCAGCGCCGCTACGGAGCTCCTGGATACTTACCAGGTCGTTTCTAGTTGAGGCGAGCAAACAGAACAAGAAGGATCAATCAACATCGAAGGACATTATTCGATCGACTGGATTGGATACTAGATGGGTCGGAGCCGACATCGCCGGACAGCAAGACGTGAACGCAGTGTGAACCAGACAAAGATGACCTAATGAGATCCGTTGTTTCCCGACTACGTGCTAGGACGAAGTCCATTCTGGCAGATTTGGAAAGCTTCTAGTGGTTGACAATGGTCAGCTGAGTAAATAAGGGCGATCATTATTACCCTCTGACTTCCGGAGTTATACTAAGCGAAACCATGTGTGATCGTTTGATCGTTCGCAATCAAAGCTATCGTTGATCGTTTGGGGGTGCAAGTGACATGGTCTCGCACATTCTCTGTCTTGAATGAATATTGGATGCTGATAAATACACCGCAAACGATTCCGAGCTTTTTGGACTGCGAACTCGCCGATTCGGATCACGGTTATGCTTAGCGCAAAGGTTCCATGACGCTATACGATACGTAGCTTGACTTTGACCCTTTCAAACATCGCGCCATTTACTTTTAAACGTTGCGATGAGTTTGATTTGAGGGGTAATGCAGAAGAGAAGATATCATAGGTGACCTTAAATAAGGGAGTTTAGTGGGGCATTCATGGTATCGAAGTGGAAGGATGTGGCCAATGGCACCACAAGAACGCCGACTGCGGAAACACAGTCTAACTGCATGGGAAGAAAGAACACAGTCAGGCCCCCACCCCCGGAGTGAAAGGCCCACTTCGACTGCGGGGCGTGCCAAAGCGGCCCTGTTTCGACTGCGGGAAAAAACTCCGATAAAAGGATATGAAGTGAACGAAGCCAATCTTAATGAAAAGAGAGCGAAGACGCGTGTTGCGTTCGCGGGAGAACATGCCCCATAGAAGGGAAGCCAGGGCTTGCTGCGGCTTTGCTTCGTTTGAGCGTCGAACGTCACGTTCTCCGCAATGCCTGTGTATGCAATTTTCCTTCAATGGACCAACAACGCAGAAGGAAGAGATACGTACGACAACTGAGGAGACGCCATCGGCCCCTCGACCGCTTCAAGCTCGAAGTTCGGCTGTTATTTGAGGGCATCTTGCCTGGCCTGCATTTATGCTACCGGTTCTCTTTGATCGTACGGAGTGGTTACAAGCCGGGTAACCAGGCACGCATCTCCTGGCCCTTTCAGCAGTAGGCATATTTGCGCCCTTTTAAGTGTAATTAATTCGCCACTGCTAGAGTGGTCATCGAGTTATCGCGGATTCCGTCGACGATCTCGTATCATTTTGTGCTTGGGTCTTGCGCCTGACACCGATAGCGGGCTGCAGCATGAGTTCTCGGGGCATGCGAGAATTAATATGGGCGTCAGCATTCGGAGGGCCAATAAAGTTAAACGCGTGCTGCGCGAGCATAGCATTTCTTGGAAGCGTCAGTTATACGTTTACATGCCATCGGCGACACGTTTGACTCCGATGTTGCTAACATTAACCTAATTGTCCATTACAGGGTGCAACCCGGCACTAGCAGTATTCAGTCAGTGCCAAAATGAGAGGGCGAGGTGATCAATTATCTCACAAGCTTGGACCCTCTTCTGCGGACAGAACTCTGCTGCGTACATCATTAACTACGCCTTATAAAGGGCGCAATGTTCCACCGGGGCACCATGATGCTACAGCACAATAAGCAGAGCACAGCTGCGATAAGCTGAGTTCGGCGGCAGCCTTAGGGGAATTACGAGAATACGCGTCAAGGCGCCGCCACCATCTATACCTGGAATAATTGTTGAACGTGAACGCGTGAACCTTTGGTAAGGAGTTATGAAATTTGAGTCTGGTTCCAACGCAGACGACGAAAATTCACCCAAAAAAATTTTTTAAATCAAGGGCGGGGGGATACGAACAGAACCTGATGCAGGCAGATAGAAAGAATGCTCAGATGGAAAACCGCAGCCAAAAACGCACCTTCTACTTTGTACTAGCAAAACTGCGCTTGGCGTTCCGTAAGTCGTGGAGAGAGGAAGGGTCGGCAAAGTCCGAGCTTTAAACATTCAGACCGAAAGCCGAACATAACTATCAACAAACCAGTCGAGCTGAATGCAACAGGCATCGACTTCAGTATCTATATATTTTTGTAAGCAACTTTCCCCCCACTCGTAACTGCTAAAGATATTGAAATGTTTGCATATAGCTTCGTACCTAGATCGCCGAAGCCTTGTCTGCAGACAACCGGATGTTTTCGTATCCTCACTCATGCACAGTGAAGAACCCTTATCGGACTCTGATAAAATATGGATACAAAAAGACCATCATCATCTTTGAACGCGATATCTCATTCATCAACAAAAAATCGCTTCGCTCATCAATCAACGAGATATCCTGCGTCAACAGCTACTCAGATCCAAATCTGTTCTTTCACCCATCCGCCGCGTTCCTCGAGACATGATAGAAATCTTCTCCCATACTATCCATCCATCAGCCAGCAATACAAACGTTCGCCAGGGTCTCTAGCCGCTATGCCGCGTCTCTTCATCCTGGCGCGAAATCCTACTGAACGCTCCTTCCTTGTCGTCTACCATCATTCTGGCTCCACCGTACACCTTCCCACATTCCAAAGCCATCCTCGCAGAACACCTTCGTCACTTCAAGAGCCACCCTTTGAGGTTGACAATATCACAGGAGAAGCACTTCACGGTCAATTTACGCTCCGAGTACAAAAATCTGTGATATGGTGCTCCGGACATCCACGCGCTGGCTTTTAGCAAACCTGAATTTGTAATCCACCTATGCTCGGGATCTACATTCTCTGTGCGGATATCTGCCGTTATTAGAGGAGCTACACCTGACGCTCACGGTCTTCTGTTCTGAAACGGCGGCGTCTCATGACGCGGACACACAGTCTGTAGGTCGTGATATATTCTCTATTACACCTTTTTCTCCGCCGAGCAAGCCTACCATTTCCGATCCGTCTCACACCCCGGAACGGAAGCCGCCTCACCCATTTGTGCTGCACCATCAGAAAATCTTACAGACATCCAACACATCTTCCAAGCCCCCTTCTCTTATTGGATGCAAGCTGGAATCACGGAACGCTAGAAAAGTCTACGACGGGCCTCTCATTCGTGACGACAACATTCAGGCCTTGCAGGTGAACGACACGGACATCCTACATGTCCTCACCCTCACGGCATTGACAAAATTGATACTCCGATTCGCAGACGACGACGACGACGCGGCGCGATCCCTGGTCGACTTCCCTCCGTAGATTATCATGCTCCCTCCTGGAACTCGGGTGTAGAACCCCAAGCTGGGGAGGACATACGTACGTCTGCCAAGTCTCGTTCAATACAACTGACGCAGTCGCACACTCCGCCATGTTCATCCCAGAAAATGTACGCTGTTAACTGCGGCAGCGTCGAAGAAACTGCATGGTCTTCGCGCATCCGCTGTTGCACTCGCGAGACTCCGGCTTCGGAGTACCAGGCCGGATCTTGGCGAATCACAAGCGCACTCGTATACTGTCTGTCTCTACGAAGGACTTTATCAGCACCAACATTCTCATCGCGTTAGGTCAGCTCGAGCAGACAGACCTCATGCCCCACCCCCTGCACTGGATCAACTTGAGATTCATTTCCACCGATTCTTTGCACGCTTCTGGGGCCTCAGCCCATAGAAAGGCCATCCAGAAGATTGCCCACCGGCGCTATTATTGTACATCAATGACGCCCAAACGGATGGCTGCGCGCGCCCATCATATTCCGCTGTGCGGTCATGAAATGGTGGGGGTCTGATCGAAATCCTGCATACATGGGGATTTGATGAACTCCAAGGTGCGGGACTAATAGAAGTCGAACCCGTATCGAAGGTATCACCACGCTACTGGATGGAGATGCATTAGACGGACAGAGACAATGAGTAGTGGTCGTGTGGCGGCGCCAAGGAAGTGACTGAGGGGTATGTAAAGGAAACTGACGCGACGCAATACCAATTAGGGAGCCATGTGGAGAGCCGAAAATTAGAGAATAGGTGGACAACTCGAGGGAAGACGAATCCAAAAGCAACGGTTTCGTAGGAATCAACGGCGAGTCGCCGGGATTTCACAATTCGAATCTTAATATCATCAGCGCTGTTACCGCAATCGAAGCGGAGCTGCATGGGCAAAGACCGTTTTATGAACAGCGGCCAACGGGTCCCCCTTCAAGTCGAGGACTTCTGGAGGACAACCGCTTAGGATCATCACCCCGTAGAAAGAGAAGCTTTAATAACGGGGTCATTACGCCGCATACACAGACGTTGTTTGCAAGCCTTCACTCGATATCCCGTATTTTTGCCGAGGCGACAAGAATTATCAAATCGGATAAATATTCTAACGGGGATTAACCTCGCGTCGCTACCAATCCTCGTTTTTTAACTACAGAACCTGGGCGTCATTGCGCGGATAGAGCGACAATCAAGCTCCAACTTACTACGTCGAAGTCACCAGTATTGCATCGCGATTACGCGTAGGTCTTTAACTTGTTACCCTGAAATGACTGAGCAATGCTTATTAGGCTATCGGCGACTAGAAATAGAATCGCTGATCTACAGGCAACTCGTAATCGTTATATGTAACTGAAAGAAATGCACGCCCCCCGCGAAACAACGGGAATCCACAATTGAAACCATCTTCGAAGTCGATGGGTCGCCTCGAGGCAGCAACTGTCGAATCCGGAGACGTATCTCGCGTCTTCTTACCGGTAAATTCAATCTGCGAAATCGCCAAAGCAACGTAAAACTGTCAAACGTCGGAGACCTGGCGCCCTGGATTAAGTGAAAATCCGTAAGGAGGCGAGTGGTCGTTTTCTAAAGTAGTATGCGGTGATGTAGAATGGATATTGATAGAGAATACAGGTAAATGGTGGTATACTTCAATTAATACAACAGCAAAACGCACGTACAGCCCGTGTCCAAGATGGAATGAAACCAAGAAAATTCCGATCCATCCAAAATATACATCCCAAGCACTACTAGGAGGGATACGACATCACAGCAGGTTGGGAAGGTACCCGATGTCAGTTAGTATACCGCCACCCGACCGATTACCCCCCACCCCATCCCCGCACTTTCCTCCCACTCCTCCTTCAGTCCCACTCCAAATCCGACCCCCAGAATGACGGCGGGCCCAGGAAGCCTAGGCTTCCACGACCAGTCCTTGGGATGGTACGGAGTCATCCCTACGTGCGGATCGTAGGAATCCCTCTCGTCGTAGGGACCGGGTGAGACGGGGAGAGCGGGACACGAGACATGCCCCGAGAGAACGACGTTGTAGGTGCGCAGAGAGTATGGAATCCAGACAGTGGGGGAAGGAGCGCGACGGCGCCGTTTGGCCTGAGAAGACGGCGAAGAGCGCATCGGCGGCGTCGGAGAGGGCGTTCCCGACGAGCGCGCCGGCAGAGAAGCATTAACCGGCTTCAGTATGCATCGCTTAACGTGCCGGTTGAGATTGGACGCAACTCCAAAGCGTCGTCCGCACGTTTCGCATTGGTACGCTGAATTCCAAAAATACATCAACATTTTCTTTTTCTAAAAAAAAAAAAAAGAGCACAAAACGACATGATGATCTTCACCTTTCTCTCCCGTGTGCACCAGAAGATGTTTCTTTAATGTACTCGGTCTGTCGAAGCGCTTGTGGCACATTGTACAGGCATGCTTGCGTTCTCTGCCATCGTGAGGACTGTCCATTACCAGTACGGAGTGGAAAAAAAAACAATAGTGGGGATGCTGGACACCAGGTCGAGGCTTATAACTTATATAAGGGCGCCCCAAGGAAGAACTCTAGTACGCCACTTGCCATCGATAATGTGCCTCGTGGCTGCGATCGTCGACACGCCACATCATGCAGGGGAGGACCATCGGAGTTGCGGCGGAGTAGCCCATCTTCTGGCCCCTTCTTTCAGAGATCACCTCAATTAGTTACCATGCGGTTCCGTGAAAAAGCTCCTTTTCGATTTCTCTAGATTTCACGCGTAGGACTTGAGTAACCGGGGCCTGGCTGGCTGCGACTTTCTGTTCTGTTTTTTGTCTGGTTTTGCCTGCCTCTGGGCTCGAACCACGTGTTGCTGGCGGCCATTTGACCGCCAAAGGGGAAAGACGGTTCTCGATACGTAGTTCTTCTATCTCAGGTATGGTGTATCGTGGTCTCCGTCTGCAAAGGTTCGTCCGTTTTATCACAGTTTGCTCCCAAGGTCGACAAAGGACTCGACCAAGCAGACATTGACATTGGTACAACCTTAGGTCGTCAAAATCTTTGTGTAGCCTAAGCATTCCTTATCGGACATTCCGTTCCTTCACGGGCATTTCTTTCATTGTAAACTCATCGGCATTCGGGATTCGCGGCAGGATCTTCCCACTGCTCGGTGTCTAAAGAGCTTCGGATGCACACGATATCCACCCTACGCGGGAGATGTCTCAACAGCTTCTATCTTCACATGACGGAACCACATTCCAAATTCTCGTGAAGCGATAACTTGAATCTATGTCTCAATGTCAACGCTCTCAGGATGATTGATAGATAAACTATCTAGACTCCACTGCGTGGGCAATAGCGAACGGTCTGTATTCCTACCTCTGGGAACGTCCAATTCAATATACGAGGCGTGGATCACTTTGGGATTTACTTCGCGTTCCCGTTCCCACTCCCGACTTCGTGGGTATGTAATAACACTGCGCTCCGATCTCAGCACCCTGAGGGGTCAGTTTATCGTTTCTCTGGGTCAGGAACGCACAATGACAAGGGTCATCAATTTTGCTTCGCTTTTTTTTTTCTTTGCCATGGCAAATTTCGGCTTCTGATGATCAGCAAAGCAAAGCATCAGATTTATGGCACCGAGAACGCGAACATCAAATTCTGCGAAAACACGTCTTAGCGGCGGAGGGTGAAATTCCTGAGGGGTGTCGAGAGGTTCAGCCAACGCCCACCGTCGGACCTTTCGGATTCCCTCCTATTTATAGTCAAGTGTTTCACGATCGCTACCATATTTCATTTTTGTCGTACCTCAGTCTTTTACTAGCATTCGGGTGAAGACTGAGGTATGTTTTCACTTACTTCACACATTAACACAACACTTATAACTACCTAGATCGTTGTTTACTAACAGGTACATTCAATTCAGTCTTTTACAACCATTCAGGTAAAGACTGAGATCGTTGTTTACTAACGAGGGGCCCGCGGTACATTGCGGACTGATTATCTCTATACTTACTTCTTGCATCACGATCCAGAGAAAAATAAAAATTCTGAAGTTGTCGGGGTCGATGGCGTAGTTGGTTATCGCATCTGTCTAACACACAGAAGGTCCTCAGTTCGAACCTGGGTCGACTCACTATTCTCTTATTTTGATGATTTTTTTCATGAACTTCGACAAATTGTAATCTTATTATCCAAGATGATTGAAGCTAGAATCCAGATTCTTAAGTGCTCAAGGACACTAGAATTCTGAATCTTCCCCAATTAACTGTAATCTGAATAGGTTATATGCTATGTATGATTATTTTTCTGTAGTTTTAAATACTTTTGCAGAAACTGGTCTTCTTCTTGTTATCTTGTATTTTTATGTTCTTATCATAAAAGAGTCATTCTCTATTCTATTGCATGTGTACAGTGTTCCCTGACCATGGTCAGGATTCCAGCAACTGACTAATGTGAAAAATCAGCATTTGGCAGCTATTGTTAGGACTTTACTGCTTATGGCCAGACTCCAGATGGATGTGAACAGGCAAAGGAAGCACAAAGGCTGCTGCAAAGGAATCAACAAATATGTCTATCCTCATTTGTATTTGTCCTCCTCCAACTATTGTCTTCATGGTGCCAGTTTTTCCATGGCTTTATTGTAAAGAGATTGGTGGTCCATCTTTGCATCAGTCTTCATCTTCCACTCCTCCTTGTCAAAGGTATCCTCAAGACACAGTAGTGCAGAGGCAAAGTAGAATGTTTCAGGATTCTTTACTCTGAAAACTCTTCAGGAAAGATCACATGTGGCATGATAATCACTCTTATTCTGAGAATGAGAGTGATGCAAGTGAATGTGCTGCAGCACCAAGTAGTACTGATTTCTCAGGAGGCTGGGTCAGTGGCACTGACACATGAGATGTGTTGGATGATGGCAGCAATGCATTTGAGTTGGTCAAGTCAAGATTATAGTCTTTATCACATTCAGCTTCCTGCAACCTTCTGAGCAATGCACTTGGGCTGACTTGTTGAAAGGATCTTTGGGCTCAGACATATCTCTAAATCTGTTGGTAATGAAAATCAGACCTTGATTTATTCTGAATCTTTCTCTTTTGGCCTGAGCTCAAAATCAAAACCCCTCTCTCCCCTCTGCAAGGATGCAGAACGAATCTTAATGTGACTCCTGAATCATTTTTGATAGAGAATAGCACTGATTTGTATCATACAGACCCTGGTTAGTAGAGACATCAACTATAATAAATATCTTTCTTTCTTCTAATGCTCCATTCTGTTTGCACTTTAAGTTACACATGGCTGGGGCTTTAATAACTATGAGCATATAAGAAAGTCTATGAAACATCACAAGAGTGACCACAGTATACTAGAAACATTCTTTGAGGAAGCACTAGCACTGAGATAGCCTCCACCTCAGCACCCAAATGCTGTTTCTGCAGTGCTGCTTGCACCTCGGCCCCTCTAGCGACAAAAAGTGCACCTTGGAAAGGATAAAGTCATTCTGACGAAAGTGGGACTCGAACCCACACCCTTTCGGACCAGATACTTGAATGGACAGAAACTGCCCTGGTACTAATTTCCTCAAAGAAATAGACACTCCCTAGTCTAGCACCTCAAACCACTCGGCCATTTTTCCACAGAATGATCGCAGATATCATTTTAAAGTACCAGATATGCGCAGCATGCGAAGAAAATGGAAATCCGGAAGGGGGCATGAGGACAATTGATCGAAAAACGTCGATCACGACCCAGTTTGGAATCTTGCCGCGGCAAAAATTTTGAAGCTCGTTAATAATAAGTTCGTCTATAACATTCCCTTTGCCTCCTCTATACACTAATCTTTTCCTAGTCCAAGCCCGTGCCCCCCCTTCTTCGCCGCAAAAAGGTTCCCCGCTAGTGACGGGGCCCTCCTGAACAATTTCAAACCTCGACTGCTTGTCTGCCATAGGCTGGACGGATATCTTTGCACTGCGCCATTCTTCGTCTTCCTGGGACGAGTTTACTAAGCGCGTTGCTAGTGATGTAGAGATTGGCCCAGCGTTGGATTTGTATATCCAATGACTTGTTTCTAAGATATTGATTCCATTTATGAGGCCGTCCCCGAGGATGAATCTCGTCGTCATTCCGGTCAGACTGAAGCCTATCAATCATCTTGAGTTCATGTAAGCAAGTTGATATCAGACATACTAATGATTAGGACTGTATCTCCACAGAACTCGCGCCATTCTTCATCTAAGGGCAAGCACAGTAGCGCAGCAGAAAAAGTTCGGTTTCATGGCCCTTTCTACCCCGAACTTGGCCACTCCTTCTACATAGTAGATCGCAGACGGTGCGATGATCAGTGGAGACAAGTCTTTCTGGGAGGGATGCTGGTGAACGGGCTGGTGTCTCGAGACTGAGTTCTCAAGGCTAAACCAGGTGGCACCGATATATGGGAAGTGTGGGGACGATGGCGACGGCGACGCCGGGTGGTGGCAACTGCTTCGAGTCAGTCGAGTGAGATTGCGGTAGTCGTCACGTCCAGACTTTTTTTCACAGGTCGTCTTGTTCTGCTACGCGCCAATGGTCGTTCAGTGGATGGGATGGGATGGGATGGGATGAGGCAGTGCCAGATCCCTTGAATTCTTCGCCAGATCCCCCTGGAGTCTTCCGGGAAAAGTACAGACATCTTGGGCTCAGCCATGTCTCTAGATCCGCTCTTCCAAATCCATCATGGAGATCTGCAGGTAATCAAGATGAGGTCGTGTTAACTAACTGATCCTAATCACAGCCTTTTTCAGAAAACGAAAAAAGCACGAGTGCTAGATAAGAACTATTACTCGCCACTAAGCATGGATCGCCAGTGCACACTATCCCACCAACGTACGTGCCTACCGAGAATCTCGAAAACACCGACGTCCTCGTCGCATTCCCCAACTGTGTATCTGGCTCTTCTGATTCACGGTCGGCTGTCCTATCGACGAGAGCATCATAAACATCGTGCTTCATCTCGCCGTCGAGGTTGCTCAAACGTACTCCGGGACGGCAAGGGTGTACTGTACTGAAACCGTCAAGCAGGACATCTAATCTTATCCCTCTTCCCCTAGGATGACTTGGCCACTGTCCTCAAGGCCTCGCGTGCATAATGGGATGCTATCATAGGCCACCACATCTCCCCACTGACCCAGGCGGACCTCGTAAGGCCCGTCATCCCTCAAAAGCGCCCGGCCGTGGTTGGGAGAGCCAAGATCGTGGCCCGTGGCAACCCAGAGGTTGTTTTCTGGACGACCATCTCGGCACCAGCCTTTCACGTTGATGCCGCCGATATGAACACGCAGAGTCCCACCTCTGTCTAGGCTTGTAACTCTCTTACCGCGAGATGTCGGCGCATGAACCTAGCACGCTGTGACGGTCCGGTGTCCAATCCAAACCCGGGATATTTCGCGCCAATACACAACCTATATGGCTTTATCGATACTCCCGGCTGCACACTGTCGATGACATTAGAGATCAGCAAATTCTTCTGGATGCGACTCCATGATACCATACCCAACGTTGCAAATTTGAAGGCGCCCGTGTGAGATCGCCCATGGACAGGCCAGGGTTCGCAGCTCTTAGTGAGGGTTTCTTGTTTCTGTGGAAGAGTCGTCTTCGTATGGCATCATCATCTAGTCATGCAGCGACCTTTCACGGCCTGCAGGAGCATCTCAAGCGGGCACATAAAGGACGACCAATAGCGTGTATTAGTAGCGCTTCATTTATATACAAAATGGTGTAGTTGCCAGAATCCCGAAATACTAAAGGAAGGATGAACACACAGTCCTAACCGGGGATGTGAGCTGCAGACATACCATCGTGTGTGCTGCATTAACGCCTTTACTGGGCACCGATGCAGAACACCTAGGGTCTTCACCATCAGCCGAACACTGCTTCGTCGAGCTTCCTTTTGGAGGGTCCTCCGTTTGCCAATATTCGATACCTGTACCAGGAATCAGTAAGCCGCTGACGAGGCAGACAAGAACATGCCGTGATGGTGGTAGCCAAGGAAAGTCGGAACCATCGTCGGAACACTGAAGAGACGTCAGAAGGGCGACTAACCATGAAGACGAAAGAAAATACCCATCGTTGCTGTGAACGACTAGATGGTGTTTAGATATAGTGTGCGTGTCAAATACTCAACATACCTCTGAATGCGTTCGTGTCAAACTCGCAGTTGAAGTAGTCAGCAAATTCCTTGTTCTAAAGAGATATCAGGGTATCATCTGGCGGAACGAAGAGCATGACCTACTCCCGTCCTGGGCGCGCCATAGGAATACGTCCGCGTCGTCACTGAGGGAAAGTTTCTTCGAAGGCAGATGGCAGCTAGCGTCGCCAGCGATCCTCCGAGGGAGTGGCCAGTCGTGACGATATTCTTCAGATCCGGATATAGAAACAGCTGTTCCTTGATCACTGAGATGACTTGCACCGCGATAGAGTTCCACCTGAAGGAACGTAAGACGATGCTCTGAGAAGTCCAAGTTGAACGCACCCAACGAGAAACCCACTATGCACCCGTACACCGCCTACCGACTTTGGATGGGAATCCTTGTCGCAAACTCAAAGGCAACTCACTTGAAGCCTCGACGCCAGGTGTAATCAGAGGCACGAGAACAATTGCCGAGTCAACCAGGATATCAATGATGGACGCACTGTCATTCCAGTAAATCTTCAGTACGTCACAACAGAGAGCCTTAGAATCGACCTTCCACGAAGAGCGAGCACCAGCTCCTTCCTGTCGCCGTCGCGAGCGATGAAGCCTTGGATATCTGAAACAGAGTTGGATATCTAGAATATCATTAGGACAATCAGGCGGTACTTAGGAGGATTCCTCGAACCTCCGATACGAGGTTGCGGCCATTCGGTCTGGGACAAAATGGCGTGTACGCCGACGATGCGTATTTGAAGTAAAATATGAGATCTCGAAGGATATCTGGGCCATCCGACGCGTCAATACAGGAATAAAGGATGATACAGGCGGCAGATACCAGGAGAAATGCCATGGAGGTCCTTGATAGACATGGTACGGAGCAAAGGAAGTCGTTCATCGTGGTCAGGTGAAGAGAGCTGAAGGCAGAAATGGATGTAAAAGTTGACGCAATGAGATGTCCTTTTTGAGATTTAATCCTGTTCCAAGCTATTTTTGCTGGGATTCAGGACGTTTCGAGTTTCTATGCGGGTGAACATCCAATTTCGTTCAGCTTACATCCCTCCTACGCCTCCTTGGTTCTTTGTCAGTTCAAAATCTCGATTTCTGAATTCATTCTTCAACTGCAGCAGCATATTACTCCGTTGCGAAAGACATAGACAATAAGTACCGGTTTATTTTAGGCACTATTCAGTATCTGTATTCAAATTCTCTGCAGATGTTTCCACTGACCAGTTTCCCATCCAATATCCATCAAGCTCTTGGTATGATAACCCTCCCAAGTCATTCCGATCCAGGCCTTCTTCCTTTAGTGCATGAAGACCTAGTCTTCTTAGCTGACTGATGACTTTATCATCAACAGAATCTGTGCGCAAGTGAGATTGCCTTGTAACATTCAATTCTATCGTCCGCCTTTTATCAAAGCGTTGGCGGATAGCCGATGATCGTTTTCTTGTATTTTCTTCCCCGGCCGCCATCGGTCCCGATACTGAGCGTCAGCCTATTCATTGCGGGAAGGATTTCAGCCCGAGTAGGTACCAAATGTCACCGTCCAATTTCGAGTCAGTTTTCTGTTTCGAAGAACCGTTGTTTGACGTAGCCTCTGCTAGATAGTCCAGGCCATGACTGGGTGCCCTACAAAATACTCTCCTCGTTTTGTATATGCTGGTGGTATTTTCCGCCACACGCCAATAGATGACGACTAGGTAAAGTTGGGTAAGACTAGTCTCTTTCTGGTTCCGACCTGATGCTGATTTTGTAGATAAAACCTATAGTCTCCAAACTCCGTAAGGATATGGTCGATGGGTTGTCCACGAGTACGGTGTTCGCCCTTGCTTTTTTATAAACAAATAAACCCTGTTCCGCCGCTATAGTCGCTTCTCAGTTGATCTCTCCTTTTATCCCTCTGGACGCTGGAAAACTACCCGAAATGCCTCTGAATTCTCAATAGTGGGATCGTTTCCGGCTCCGGTTCGTGCTAAGGTCCCTCAACTTGATATTCTTTGTTCTAGTGCCTTCACTATCCCCGGCGCAAAGTAGTTCAACCTGTATCCGTGTTTATAGAACTGGAAGTCTATTCTTTTACTCCATATTCCGTGACTCTTGCACCTCCAAAATAGCTCATTGGGCCCACCACTTTTTCAGAGACCACTAGTGACCTCCGACTTGTTATCAGGTTGTCATAGTCCAACGTTGTTCGTTGGTTCCAACCATCAGGCACATTATCTTCTGTCCTGGAGATTTCTGGCTCACATTCAGCTTAGATCCTTTGCCCTGGGCCACGGCGAAGACTTTCCTGGACAGTGACAATGATAACTCTCCTTGATACGGGAGCCAGAGTCGAGCTGACGAAGGGCGGAATATGTGCATGAATTGTGATTAAAATCCTTCACTCCAATCCTCACAACTCATTGCGTATATTCATTGTTCCTATATACTCTAAAATATGCTAACTTTCAATCGGCACAGAAAGATGCAGACTAACAGATGAGATATTAAGGAATTGGGTTGATGGCGAAGTTGGTTGTCGCCTGCGTCTCACACACAGAAGGTCCTCAGTTCAAGCCTGGGTCAACTTATATGCAGCAACGCACTGCCGAGGTTTTTGCCCCAAAGCACCCTTATTAACTAGGCACACGAGTGACCACTGACGACATACTGAGTGTACACAGGTCCTAGCAAGCTGAAAGGTCGATAATCCTGGTGTGTGAAAAGCTGGGGAATATGAGACGCTTGTTATCAATGTACGACACAGGTCGCGAGTCCGATATACACCACAGAGCAACGTCAATGATGGTCGGCTCAACGTCAGTTCCGCTCGCCGGCCCCAACCGCTTGCTCAAGGATGGACATTTCGAAAACTTGAATCAGATTTAAGAACAATCAATTTCATGAAATACGTCTGTATGATTACATCCAAAGGAAGCTAAGCCAAGAATGAGTAATTACGGATTTACCAATGAAAGGCCACCATCGACGCGCAGAATGACTCCGTTCGTATAATCAGAGACGGCCAGGAGCATCGCCGTCATACCCATCTCAGCTTCGCTACAATGCTATTAGAATAAAAACACACAATATCCTGAAAATAGACCCACCTCCCATGCCTCCTCGCAGGTACCGCCGCCACCAACCCAGGCATGGCCGTCGTCTTGAGCTTCTCCAAAAATTCAGGAGGTGTCAACTCCGACGCAAATGACCCAGGCGAGATCGCATTCACACGAATGGGAATATCCCTAGTAGCGAAACTCGTCCCAAGGACTAAAGTGAGATGGTTCAAGGCGGCTTTCATTGGCCCGCACGCAAGCTTCAATCAGAGTAAAGTACAACTTCAGGCTTTGGAGAACAAAGACATGCCGACAGTCCTCTTGATGATGACTGGATGTTGGCTGCTGCGCTGCTGATGTTGATGACACTCGATGTTCCCTGTAAGCGAGAGTGCGCTCCTTGGATGAGCAGAGGTTGGAAGGCCCGGACGGCGAAGAAGGGCGTGATGGTGTTGAGCGCGAACATGTCTGCCCAGTTTTGTACCGTTTCGGGCTCGAAGGGGTCATTGGCTGACATCTTCTTCGTTAAAAAATCGGGGTCGTGACGAGAGGCGGCGAACCCGGCACTAGGGGAAAAAAAGAGAATCGGCGTCGGAAGGGAGGGAACGGAGAGCTTTAGACGACAAACTTGTTCACTAGAATATCGAGTTTTCCGTCAAAATCTCCGACATGCTTAGCGGCAGCCTTTACGCTTTCTTCGTCTGTCGCGTCCATTTGGAGCCTGTGTGCATATAAGGTGCATAGAACAGCATAAAAACAGTTACTTACGGGACCAAGGACCCTGATACGCCTGTCACAGACGCGGCAGCTTTCTCTAGAACGTCCAGCCTTCGGCCAGTGAGATATATTTTGGCTCCATTTGCAGCAAACGCTTTCGCAATACTGAGTCCTCTTTCATGTCGCGCGCACGTCAGTAGTAGGTAAAGACCAAGGATGAAGGCACTTACATCCCCGTTCCGCCTCCAGTAACCAGGCCTACACGTCCAGAGAGAGACATCGTCTTAGCTATGCTGAGATCTGCCATCTTCTGAGAATGGCAGAAAAGTCCCCAACGTGCTGGCTTTTATTCCTGTGGTTGTTGACTGAATGACACACTTTGGAGACTGTACTCCGCTCGACCCGATGTATGTAATTTGTCAAGAAGGCGCTTGGTCAGTTCGATAATATTCGGCTTTGTCTCAGTGGGTCCCTATATTTACTAAGGATGAGATGAGATCAGCCAGTGTTTCAGTCGTAACACGTAATCTGCTCGGCTTACAAAACGCGGTCTGCGCGAGGGCTATAGCATAGTGCTTCTCTCCTTCGGAATCTGTCGATGGTTAGTACTAGCGTCAGACGATATGTCATCAATAATGGCTTTGTCGACAAAGCATCGCTGATCGACGAGAAGTTCTGCTCCGGCAACCGCGTCGGCGAAGCTGAGTTATGGAAAAGATTCAAAAAACAATATCGCGGTAGGTATTTCTTTATAGCACAGTTCTGGTCCAAAACCATCCATTAAAACGTAGACAACCCGCAACGGTTCTTATTCAGTCTGGGGGGAACATCCAGAAATGTGGTGCACTAGGGATTAGGTTACTAATACCTGTAAATGTTCTCAGTAATGGCATCTCTCAGATGAACCAGCACGTTATTACCACAAGATAGATTCCACATTCTCCTGTGACACTCCTTTATTTCAATATGAGCATTGCTCCTCCTTCAATGTTACCCCTTCGTCAGATACGCCAGATTCTTGCGGCAACAGCATTAGCTCATGATTCAACAGAAGATACGGTGCCTACATACCAGCTAAGCGGGTTGCTCCAGAAAAGGGTCGTATGGGCCACCTTTTTAGTAGAGCCCATACGCTTTAGATCCAAGAACGCATAAGCTTATCTTCAGCAAAAAGCATGAAGACGGCGTTCTTCAAAAGTTACGTCGCCATACGAGATGAAATCGGCCACAAAGGTAGGATTTTGATGCGTACATGTGTATCCCGTGCTAATTCGAATGTCATCTCTGCTATGGGACACCGTGTCAATCACTGCCTGATAAAACAAAAGTGAGAGACAAGAATTGACCATGACTTGCATGCTTCGCAACGGTATAAATGGTCATTCCTGGAATCGGTGAGGCAGATACGAGAGTGTCATTAACGGTCGTTCCTCGAGTGGGCGCGTAATCCTGTATTAAGGGTTGGAAGTGATTCTCCAGCATCGTCTCGATTTCCTCACGCATGCAGAAAACGCCGTGGACATCGATTGCGCATATGTCGTCGTAGTCCTCGATAGTTTGGTTAACATAGCATAATCCAGCTAGCCGGATGCCTTCAGAAGGGAACAAGACGGAATAGCGGTGATGGTGGTCTTCATCAGTGGCTGTGGCGAATCGCCATTCGGGATCGCTTCCGAAACGCTGACAAAGAAAATATCGTCCTACATTTGGCAAGCCCTCAATTGCCTTCTTCATCTACTTTCTTTTCTACATCGGACAGCACTAGGCCATGGGGCTCTACCCCGAACTCTAAAATAAATTTGACGGTGTGCGTCCTCTTCTGATCCATGACATTGTCGCTACATTCTGACATACCCTATCCAATCCCAGTTTTCCACTTGTCTTAACTTAGTCGGTATCGAGTTCTGAGCCTTCAGTGGCTTTAACGTCATCTATATGGCACCATCTGGCGCACTTTTAAGTTGAAGGAGAAACCTTCATTTTGTTGTGAATTAACGGATGTTGGCACAGATTCCTGGAATTTTTTGTTGCGACCTAGGCTAGTTCTCTGTCTGCACCGGCTCTGCGTATTCGATATCATCTTTAAGGTCTATTGCATATCTGTGTTTGATCTGTGTTTCGGTGCATAATGAGCCTCTCGCCTCTGTTGCTTGGATCTGCCCATGCCTATGTCTCGAAAAACTATGCCCTGGGGGTGCCACATAGAACTCGAAGCGCTACCATGGTACCTTGACGTTTTGACTCTTTGCTTCTAGGTGATTCAAAAAAAGCGAAAGCCGACGCATATATCTAGGTACGTCAATATCTCCTATTCTTCTAAAGGATTCGAATTCGAGACTTCTCCCAGAATGTACCCATTCCGGTTTACCATCACTCCGACAAAGTCCACCCACCAAGGAGACGGCAGCGGGGGACTCTCAGTCACCAAACAAATGCGCAGGATCCTCAACCAACCCGGCTACCTATCCATCAAAATGGGTGGTCAAACTCTCCGAGTCCTTTATAATGACAGATCCACCTCCTTTGATCCTCAAAAGCTCACCTATTTCGGACTATGCTGCTACCTGGGAGATTACGACAAAGTCGTCAAAGTGAGCTTGACACATTCGCCAAGTATCCTCAGTTACTGAACTGTCAATTCAGGAAGTCGAAACTGGCGATGCCCCCGACCTCGAAGGTTCAGAGACACCATACAAGTTTGGGTATCTCACCGTCGTCATATCCGGGGCGCAACGCCTCCAAACACCCAATTCCCAGCATATCGACGTCCTCAAATATCTCATATCTCGCGGCGCGGCTGTAGACCTTCCAGATATCACTGGATACACCGCCCTATCCCACGGAACCATGAACCACATGGCGAAACTCGACATGGCTCGGGTCCTTCTCGAATCTGGGTCAGATCCCAATCAGCGTGACCGCTACGGCGAAGTCCCTCTACTCGGATGCTTCCAGACCAACGGAATCGGCGCTATCGACCTCCTCATGGAATTCGGCGCCGACATAGACATCGCAGACGCAGACGGAGTCAAGCCACGTGAGTTTCAGCTCAAGTGTGGCCCAGAGGTGACAGCTGCGGTGCAGCGATGGCTCAGGAAGCGTTCAGGGGACGAGAAACCGATGGACAGCAAGGCATGCGAATTTTGCAAGAAACCAGGAGGAGACGGTGTCCAACTCAGGCTGTGCTCAAAGTGTCAGACTACAAGGTATTGTTCGACAGCGTGTCAGCGTGCGTTTCATTTCACCTTCTGTAGCATATTATATCTCCCTGACATCTCACTCAGGTTCGCACTGGCCTACCCACAAGCCCCTCTGTCAACCATTCTCCACACAGAACACCGTCACCCTCATTCCATACTACCCCGAATCCCAAAACGGGTTCTGCCAACCAATGGCCAAGTTTAATCGGGACATTTGGTCTATCCCCGCACCCGAAACACCTCAGTCTCATCACCGCTTCGCACATACGCCCAAGAATCTCCCGGCTAAATCACTCAAGAGCATCATTATCAAAGTGCAGGTACCTTTTGACGCATTTTCGAGCAAGCCGCTAGCGAACGTAAAGCTTGACGGGGATCTCCTGGTGTACACGAAGAAGAGAGATTTCGTATGCACGATAAGACGAGGTGATGCGCCGGAGGAGTATGATCACATATCCCAAGTGGTCAGGATTAAGGGCGTGGGAGGGGCAAAAGCGTATTTTGCTGCGGAGCTTAGGAGCAAAACGGCGTTGATCGTGAAAGTATCAGAGGTTCTCGCAGAGCAGCCTTTTTAATTTTTCTCTCTTGATCGTAGGTTTAAATCATTATTCCTGGGTCGTGCACTCAAGTCAGTTTTATTTTGACAGGTATCAGAATGCAAGACCGAGTAAATATTTTAAGAAACCGACCGCCATATTTCTACATAGGTACTAGGGATCCTCTTCAACGGAAATAAGAAAGTATCAATATGTTGGTCCTATGAAGGATATTGATAATAACAGGTATACTTTAATTTTTACTTGTAGACTCTTCAATCATCATGATTCATGTCCTCGTGTGCTCACTCATAGTTCGCGCTCCAACCACCACTTAATCCAGAAATAGTCCTCGCTGAGATAAAACACACCTATCCAAACCTTCTTCAAGGCTAGCTGATCGATGACTTTGGCGTCGGAGAAAAATATACCCAGGTGAGATAGCCTTGCGACACTCAAAGCTGCCGCTTGCTCCTCGTTGAACCGTTGGCATACGACATCGAGTCTCAATCACTTCAACCCGGGATTGAAGGTTCCGGGTATGGTCAACTGGTCTCCTTCCCGATGGGGTACGATTGGCACCTTGGAATAATACATGCAGTGAGTTAATATCTTGTTGCTCCCGACGCCCTTATGTTCCACGGAGCATTCGTCGTTAGCAGCACTTTGTGATTTATGATATGGGAGATAGGGAATACCGGTTTATTGTGGGCACTACTCAATCATTAAAGTCGTGAGCTGCTAAGTTTGAATTCCCACTGCATATACATGTTTACGCACTGAACCAGACTCCTGTCCAATACTGATCAACCTTTCGGTATGGTGACCCTTTCTCCCAATCCAACCCTTCGTTCTCAAGTGCATCAAGCCCATCGCTTTTTAGCCAGTTGATGACTCTGTTACTAACACAATTTATACACAGGTGAGACAGCCTTGTGACATTCAATTCTGCCGCTCGCTCTTCATCAAAGCGTTGGCGAACGACGTCAATGACCATTTTCCCGTAAGGTCTTTTCCAGACGGCATCGATATTGATGGTGAACGTCAGCCTCTTCATTGCGGAAAGGATTTCAGGCTGAGTAAACTGATCCAGTGGGGATGCTGAATGACCTTTCCTATAGTACACAACCAGACAACTGACATTTTTTGTGAAGGCCCTAAGATGATGGAACTTCTGAACCACCTCCGGGAAAATGGCCAAATGTTCGATGGAGCAAGCGGATCGCGTCAGAAATTCTTGAAGCGAATGAATGTCAACGTCATCCCCATCTAAAATGGAGTCCGGACAATAGCCGAATCTTCTCAGTGACGGGGCGGTAAGAGCGTCCAGTATCCTCACATCATTGACTGTTAGGGACTGAAGTTGTTCCATTCGAACGGGTAACAAATTACTAGAGTCCAGAGGTCCATCCCAATCGTCGAAAAACAAGATACTAATTTCGACGAGCGTTTGTACCTGGGTGATGTACCGGATGTCTGCCAAATGATGCAATGTTCCACTAAAATGCGTGAGAATGCTTAGGCTAGCATTCAAAGGCATCTGGGAAATCTCCAGCGATTCAACGTTGACACGTCGAAGAGATGGTGCAGAGGACAATGCATCTGTGCTGAAGTCCGCAGTGTCTGCGGTAGAAACATACAACTCCTCCAACAAAGGAATATTTCCTGATACAGAAGCAAGTTTCTCTAGGTCTTTCGATCGAGCGCACATGTCCACCATTTTCCACAACGCGGATTTTTGAAGGACCATATCAAAGATACGTCTATCAATAACGTGGCCTTCAGTCCTTATTGCTATCCATAATGGAAACTGTGCAGAGCGACGGAAATGGTGGGAGAGTATGTCCACTGAGTGGTGCGTGTACGGCGGTTGCAAAATGACAACCGACCATAAGACAGGCAAGGTTGATACAATGTCTCGCCAGCATCCACAGACTTGGCCCAGAGGCCACACGCCCGTGGTGACATCGAGGCTGTTCTTGGGACGATGAACGGCCCAGGAGAATATCTCCAGAAGAACGTCACTTGGAAGACGACGGATAGGCGACAGCAGTGCTTTTCGCCTGGACAGCGAATGCTCCAACTGGTCTTTTTTGCGCATCAGCATGATCATTTGTCTCTCCAAACTGGAGATTTCGAGTTCAAGGGTAGAGATATCTTCTTCGATCCGCGCCGTGTCAGCATCTAACAAGGGCCTCTTCTTACGAAGAAGCAACGTTATTAAGTGTTCATGTTCAAACTCGTTTGCTGGTGTATAAAGAGACTTCGATGCTAACATGCCGAAAGGGTAAACAAGCTGAAGAATGGCCATGGGTCCGGTTAATCTGATTGAAAGCTATTGGTCAGCCTACTCACTGTTTCGGCACAGCAGCTATGCGTGATGGTGAAGAAATGGAGACTCGCAAGAAGGGGAGGACACTGGTGAAAATGGCGCTATTCTGCTGGGTGGAGGTACAGTGCCATGTAATACGAGACGAGATGGTCAGATTAAAGGGCAATTGCCGTGCGGCCCGGGTCAGCTGCGCTCCTCCTGGTTCCAACTTTGCGAAGTTGTATAGGCCCATCAAATGTCGCCTTGTAATTGTCCTTGAAGCTTCTCAGCGCTGAAGCATAAATCATGGAGGGGTTGCGACCACAAGACCAGCCATGGCTGTTATGAACTTGAAGAACGTTGAAAAGCTCCCACTGAGGGAGCAGGGTCAGATCTGCACTTCACTGAAGAGACTCAGGATACCGCGAAACTCTAGACATTCAAAGTTGGAATTTGGAAGGGGAAGGCTTTGCCTAAGTCAAAGGCACGTGGAAAGACGGGACTGAAAATCAATATGTAGAGGCGTCGCTCCCCCCAAAGAATTTTTGGAGAATGATCACACAGACGACTTAAGTCCGGGCCAATCGAGTAAATAACTTCAACAGTCAATTTATGAAAGATAAGAAGCTTCGGGTGCAAACCTCAATCCTGCTAATAAGTACCTTCCCCATATGTAGGCGGAATCGATAGGCTTTTGATTTTTCTCGGCGAGTTTTTTAATTCCTCGTTGTGTTGTAGAAACAAACTTCGGGAGTTTCATAGCTCTCACAGCTAATGGCACAAGCACACTTGGGGCAAGACAGCCTTGATCGTGAATGGTCCTATTTACACAGGCATCAAGGTACAAGGCGAGCAAGCGGCAATTTTCGCTAATCAAACCATAAACGTACCTACTTCCAGTACTTTTCGTATAAGGGCGGCGCTCTGGAAAACGCAACTTTCGAACCAGACTGAGCAATGCTCAGACCCCTCTAGTCAGCTACTTATTGCCCTGGGAGTCATCGACAATCATATACAACTTCTCGACTTTGAACGACTACCTTCCTAAAGGCTGTAGTGAGAAAATAGAACGTCACTTACTATACGACATACTGCTGATCGCCCTTTTCGCCAACGTAAGGTCGGAGGCTCGTAGCATAAAGGTCAATATTAATAGTGATACTCATACAACCCATGCATCGGTCGATGACCTTCGGAACATTATGAAGCTAGAAGCCCAAGTGGCATCTCGCCGAATCACTATTTCTACACCGCTTGCGATGTAAACAGCTTGATCATTCAACCTGTAGTCTATCGTCAGAAATCCTTATCCGAGGTGTTGCTAAGACCCGGAATAATCATTACTCGTCTATGTCACCGGATCATACACTTAAATTAGTCTTATCTACAAAGGCATCAGTACTAGATTCGTTTTACAACGTCCGACATCTCACGTACATGTCCCACCATCGCCGTATCTGATCCTGCTCTATACAGTATGGCCAAGCGTCTCTTCCTCAAAAGTCAAGAATCGACGATGCAACATGTCCAAGCTAGAAAAGGATGTCTCGCCACACAGGTCCTTAATGATACTAGAAATATCATCCAGAAGCTATTCCCAGGCAAAGGTCAGTGTCACAAGTCATCACAAAGGCTGGAACTTACAGTTACGACAGAGGACAGCGAGATAACAGCTATAATGACAGCTGCATTCAAGACTAACACGTCACCGCAACGAATCAAACTACTCACCCGTGGAATGCGCCGGGAGATGAGGGTCCTGTGCATGGTGATTAGTGTATATCAGTGCCGTAAACCATAAAGACTCGCCATGAGAACCTGTAGCGTCAGCTCTTCGATACCAATCCTGGTGCTATCCACCTTTTCCGGCTCATGGTCTGTAGAGTCCTCAACGTCGGAATCGGAAGAATCGGAGTCGCCATCCTTTACCTCCTCTTGTATCTGGGCGTGTCTACGCCGAACAACCCTCGCACGACGCTCGTGATAGATGATCCGATCCTTCAGGTTGAAGAATGCAGGAGGTAAAGGACGAGCACCAGAAAGGCAGCTGGAGATGACAGAGATCTGTGTGAAAACATCGGAAAGCTGCATATTTTGAGTTAGCCCCATTGAAAGAAATAACTGCCGGTGAAAGAACGTACGAAGCTAGGATTCATAAATGGGGTCTACAGCGAAGATTAATATCGAATGAAAACAGTGTACGACATAGAACTCTACGAACGTGATGTACGAGGATTCCACACCATCGTTCGTCCATTCTTGACATGGCTGCCACGAGAAGGTTCAAAGTCGAAAGAAGCCGTGTTCTATATGGTTCAAGCACATTAAATCCTTAAGCTCAGGTCAGAAAGGATGGAAGGATCATACAATTTCATATGCAATAATGTGTACTGCTCGTACGGCCACTGGCCCGAAACGTGGGGTTCCCATTTCGCAGCAGTCAATGTCGGCTGCAGCTCTTGTAGCCGGGTCTGCAGCGCATAAGCCCCGTGAGCACAGGTACCGAAAGTGAGGAACGTACAGCGATCGCAAGCATCCTAGGTGTGAACATCCGGATGCGCTGCTCCTTCGTTGAGACATTATCGGATCGATTCGTATGGTCCTTCTCCGCGTCGCTATTAAGCCGAGTCTTGCGCTCTTCCGCTAGGAATGCCTCAACTTCCGAGGCGAATATGTTACCCAGTTCATCTGTAATGGCAGCCAAAGACCGACGGACGAAAAGACGAGAAGATGTCAACCTAGGTACTATCATCACGATAAACTGGTCATTGACGGAAGCTATATCAGACATATGCACATAAACCAAGGCAAGGATAGATCACGTACCCCAGCAGTAAACCCTATGATGATAAGCAGGCTAAGATCAAAAAGGTAAGTAACAACAACCGCGCATGGCATAACAGACTCACGCTCGCTTCCATGCGATATCGATACCTTTTCCAGTGTTGGCCAGCATGACCTGATGGGCGTCGACCCAACTGTATCCGACAACTAGGGAAAACACAGGTTAACACGATGCTCGCACTAAACTCAGCCATCTTGGCTCACCAAATACAGTGGTTACTCCGATCATACTCCAGAAAGGTTTGTCACTGGGCCGACATGTGATACTCTTCAACACGAAAGGCGCAGTCAATGCTGTCTATAATTCGAAGTCAGAATTTTGTTAGTGTACCCAATAAAACAAAAACGAGCAACAGACCGTGATTATAACGATACCATAAGGGTTACCATTCCCTCGGGCAGCACCAATATACCACGCCACAAGACCATCTATTTCTTGCATCAACAGATAACTAATCCAGAACCGATATGAGCTTACTGAGCAAACCAATGCCAGTTCCGATTAACCGAACACCGTAGCTATATATCTAGATGAAGCAATCAGAATAGTTCGAACCTCGTTCATAAAACATGGAACATACCTGATCTCCCGCAAATACAGCTAGACCAATCTGGCCATATATTAGTGAACAAAAACAAGAACAAGGTAAAGTAAATCCACCTGAGCCATAATCACCGCCCAAATCCCCCGATATTGATACACGAACCACACGCTTGAGGAACAAACATACGGAATCCAGAGCGCTATTGACACAAGGCCATATCTCATCGCGTAGACACCCTCGGGTGACCAGAGGAACCTGACAGCCGAGGTTAACTTGAGAGAGAACTTCCCAAGAGCGGATTTGGGCGGAAGTGCGTCAGGATCGCGGGCTTTACACATGCAATCACCATCGGTATCAATCAGCTCAGTAAGGAAAAATCAACTGACGATGACGGACAACCCCTGCCTCCATTTCATCTTTCTCGCTTTCAGCCTTGAGCGTATCCTGAGACTCGGCTAGACTCTCCTCGAATTTGAACGGATCCGTAGGCGCCCCCATCGCGAAGGGCGAAACGTTTTTATTTGTTCCGCCGGTCCCTTTTGCTCTGCCTCCCAGGCTTCCGTATCCAATGGGCATCCATAACCTAGGCTCTGGCCGCTTCTCATCAAGATAGACAATCAGGGTCAGGAGCTTGATGAGGGAATCCGCAAAAGCCTCCAAGGTATCACAGAACACGAAACATATGAACAGCGACCTTTACAAGTAACAAACACCCCAATCAGTATTGATGCGTATGTACAGGGCATCCAGGCACGTCTGGTAACCACGCACCTCACAGAGAAACCCGAGGTACCCGCATCTTCTTTAACTGAGGCAAGTAGTCGACCGGTGACTGGATCGAAAAATCGTTCAAATGGCCTGATGAGTTGAACCCGCTCGACGTTACGAAAGTGGTCCAATGATTTCTTGATAACATTCAACTGCTCAACTAGACCCTGCTGCCTTTGCTGCATCTTCTCGGGAGACGGCTTACTGAACAACCATGACCACCTTGTATTATTGCAGTCTTTAAACCACGTCGTGATGATCTTAACAGTTTCCGAACAGTCATTGTTAAGGGTCTTGGACGCATTAGACAGTAATGGAACCAAAGTCTCCAGGTCAAGGCCATGCTTTACTTCGCGAGCCCGTATATCGCGCAATAGCAAGATTGACCGGTTTATAATCGCCTTGTTAGACTTCGGATCTTCATCATGACCAGCTTTGGCATGCGCGACAAGCAAGTTATCTACCGCCGTCTGAAACGCTAATAACCCACTGCGATGGAGCAAAATATCATTTCCTGTCACACATCAACATAAATCGCTCACGCTGTCCGGTTCGTTAACGTCTTCAATTCCTTGTTTACTTGCTTCAGATCTGCAGCGCCTAGTCTTCCCATCGAGCTCTCGAGGTCAATGAAGCTAATTTGACCTTGAAGGCCTTGAAATCCTACGACTAATGACGTGCGATACGTTTTCCCTCGCCGAATCAGTCTTTCAAATGCCTCGTGGTCCGAGGCACTCGTCTGTAGGGTTTCAGCTTGAAGATCGATGATGTCAAGGACGGGCTATAGACGCGTTTAAGCAAGGGCTCAAGACTAATACACCGGCAAACTAACTTTAAGCACGCCGCCACCAAGTAAGCTCCTGGATACCAATATTTAATCAACATTTAGTGTTAATGGATGGCACTCACAGCCAAACATGATTCAGAGATTCTGGAAAGATGCAGATGAGGCATGCGAGGGCGGTCGCGAGATAAAAGCCAGTAGGAATCAGGAACAGCTTGGCAAGTGTATACTGAGATATCGGGAAGACTACATGCGCTTGAATGAATCTGACGTGCAGAATGGTTGCAATTATCAACTAACCAGGGCCATAAAGACACATGAGGTCCAGAACGATGCTGCCAAATATACTGAAAAGGGCAAGCTTTGGTCTGTACGCAACCACAGTCGAGAAAAAGAAGGTCCCAATGAAGAAGAAAGCACCAAACACGGCCGAAGACCTGCACAATAAAGTTGAATAGAAGGGGTAAATAAGGGCGAGATCGCTTACCGAGGATCAAGAAACTGGCCGTGGAATATGGCGCTTTCGTATTGAAGCGCCGTGGGGGTACCGCTGTATGCCCAATATGAGCCTAAACTCAGGCAAAATGACTGCGAAGAACCAACGAAGACTGAAGAGCATGAACCTGCCGCGCCAATCGAGCTTGGTCACGAACCGAAAGAGCAGATGCCATGGCGGCGCAGCCCCACGCCCAACCGAAAAGCATACCTGGCCACTGTTAGGCAGATCCACGCGCAAGGAAAAGGCTATAAACCTATTATGAGCGTAGTCGATACAAACAGAAACATCGATAGCGCGAAAGACGGCGGTAGCAAAACTGCCAGGATCCTAGGAAACAAATTGCCGAATATCAAGACAACGCCGCGCAAGATGAACGCGAAACGCACGATGCAAAGAACGCCGCCTGTCCCTCTGCTTTCGAAGTCTTGGTAGCACAGAGGTAGATCAACGAAATGGCGAGCGAAATGCAGCATCGAATCCAAGTCTTGATGGTTCTTCTAGACTTGAAGGTCGCCTTCAGCCACGTAACAGCCTTTGCCGTGAAAGCCTTCTGCGCGTCCATGGCGACAGAGAGAGGGAATGGTGGTAGAAGAAGAAAGAAGGAAAATTGTTTCACCCGATGGTACGAACTTGTTGAGGTTCAGAAGTCGCGTGGCGGTGCTGATGTCATGGGTCCTACCAAATTTGCGGGGGATGCCGCCCGCGAAAGTTGTCGACAAAGGGCTCAATTCTCAATTTCCATTCCTTTCGCTTAATGTCACCATCCTCATCGGCACCATTCCTCGTTTCTCGCCAACACAATATGTATACAATCGACTACTGCGCAATTTTACATCAAGAACGTTGCTGTGGAAGCGCTGGAAGCAGGGGTCGCTACTAAGGACTCCGAATTCTCATTGGGGGAAAACGAGTGTTATGCCCCAACATATGTCTTTGAGGGTCTCCATACTGCTGTTATGCCGGCATCGTCCACAGGGTTGACATATACTGGAAACGAACCTTGTGTACATGGCCTGTTGATCTGCCGTGCAAACACCTCGTTTCGTCGCTTGTTGCACATATCGGTCGCATCACAGCACGGAATTCGTTTAGTTATCAATGCTTGCGCCATTCGTGCTACCATGGCCAATAAATCAGAAGGCTAGATCATGCAGTGGTGGAGTTAAGTTGTATTCTTTTAGACCAAGTATGACTCTTGCTCTTACCATCCAATTCATCTTGAAGCAGAGTCGTAACTTATACAGATTAGTTGGACGTCCAAAAGTCGTAATCGCTTCCATGCATGGGTCCTTCAAGTTCAGCAACTCCGAGCCGCAGAGCACCGAGTATATAGACCCAAGTTTGAAGTTGGGAGAAGTCATCCATTTAAAGTTGGGACGTCTGCTGTTGCTAAAGCTTTCATCCGTTGGCGCCGAGTTAAAGAAGGTGTCTTGATGGACAGCGCGGTAGGATTTGTAAATTCGAATTATGCGCTTTTGAGCCGATATACGATAAGAATGACTCAACTGACAGAACATTCTAATCCGAGTTCTCACCTCTCGGGACAACTGGTCGTAAGAGCTTGTGTAAGGGTTGAGGAAAGGAAATCGATATAACGAGTGACAGCCATAGAGTCGGCGTCGGGCCTGTTAATCGGAGCATCCTAGCGCATGCTCGCATCGTTAATTACCAGATGACTATTATCCGTTCGGCATTAGAGGATTCTATTTCAGATGATCAAGCTCTTGTAAGCAATCCGTGAATGCAACGTATCACCACCAAGCTTTCATCTTCCGATGCGCGTTTCAGAGACATATGGGTCTTAAGGGGAGGAGTAATGCGCCATGTAAAAGTACGAGTGACGTGGGACGCTTGAACTCCGGATCACCAAGAGCGAACAAAAAATATAATTGCCCATTGGAGTTATCAAGAGACGATATGAGTCGAGTTGACGAGAGATATTACGAGCGAACAGTAGGTGCCACCAGACAACGTCTACAGAGACCATCGATATCGTCATTTTCAAAGTCAGGGTGGATTGACAGGAATCCAGTCAAGGCACAGCAGATCGACATACGAAGATTGTGCATGGAATGACCACGGAAGAGCGGAAAGATGAGGCTAAAAAGGCCCACGGTAACAGCGCATTCACCGTCAGCGTCGAAATGGTCAGATCTACTTCAAGCTGCCCAGAAAAGCCCGCTGGTCACAGCACCATTATCAAAAACAGGCCATGCGGGCGGGGTACAACCAACATAAAATGAAGAACGCCAGAGCCGTGATATACCTACGAATGGACTTGATGGCAAACCTAACATATATATGAATTGATCATAAATAACAGCTGCCAAGACGCACACCCGAGTAGACACTCAATAGACGACCACAATGCCGTGAATGACCACATAGCCAGAATGACAATGTTGTGTGACCTATACAACCCGGTGACGACTCGGTAGAAAGCATTTGTCTCGTGAATTTTGATCTTCTCCTGAAGTATAACTTACTGATAACGAGGGGGTAGTGTATGGCATGGTATACCCCAATCAGCTGAGACCATGAGATGCTCATTGCAATGGAATCAAGACATGATTTTTTTCAGCATCAAACTTTGAAGTGGAGACATTTTAATGCACAATAAATAGGATAGAATTCAAGATAGAATTACAAATTTATAGGGCACAGCATAGCAAGAGCATTTACAAGCTAATGTAACCCTTGATTGTCTGAACGATGGACTGAAGAGCATCGTAAGAAGCACCGGATGAAATGTCTGGGTTACAACATTGTGGTTCTGCAGGCCTCAAAGACTTTGCTTCAGCTACACCCCTTACAGGCTGACCACCTTTGCTGGTCATGCTTTTCAAGGCATAGCAAGCCCTCCACTTCTTCCCAATTGCAGAAATAGCATACAATCGATCCAATTGCTGATTAGTTGGCCCAATCTCATCAAGATGCTGAATGACTTGGACAATCGCAGCATCCCGCCCTGAATCTACATGGAAGTCGGATGGGGGCTTGATCTCAACAAGCAGCAAGGGATGCTGGGGAAACTCGACAACAAAAGTAATTGTGAAGATGACCCACTGTGGACAGACATCAAACCCCTCAGTCGGAGAGAACCAATAATTCAGAATCTTGTCATAAAAAAAGGGTAAAACTTTGCTTCAATGGTCTCATTGTCATTGTTCAGCCCAGCAGCTTTGGTTAAAATATATTGTGGGTAGCCACCACCACAGAGATGAAGCAAGGGCATGATGCAGTAGTAGCATACTCGTCCTTCTGCGCTTACAGTCAACGTCTTCACAAAGATCTGCATTGCGGTGGATGGCAGTTCAATGTAACACTCTGGAATGACGACTGAATGCTGTGGTTTACATATTATGTAATATTTACCACGTGCCAGTTGCGACTCGCATAACCTGGTTGCTTGCATTCTGCCGTTGCCTGGCTTCTTGCCGGTCCACGAGCGCGAGATGGTGCTCTGAGAGCCTCTCACATGGCAAACGCCCATCCTTCCGGGCCTCAATTTGTTGGTTTTCGGTGCTGGTACCGGTGCTCTTAGCTTCCCGACTAGTCATAAGCATACAACAGTCAAAATTTAAATTGATACAGGAAAATCACATCAACCTCAAGATATCTACCGGCGTTCATTGTTTAAGGAAACGGGGAACTGCTTGTGCCTACGTATCTATGAGATAGTTTGGCCAGAATAGCAGCCATGTCATGGTCCATGCCCCCCCAAGACCGCCAACCTTGAGTCCAAAAACGCGACGGAACGCACCCTCGGCAAGAACTCAATCGTGCTGACTAGGAACAAACATCCAAGAGTCCCAAAATGGGGCGCGATGACCCATACCCCATACGCCGAGGTAATGAAATCAAGGCAGACAGGGTGAAGGAGCCGAAGACCATCCCCACATGCCCTGGACCCAACGGTACGCCACCAAAGGAGGCATAAGATAGGCTCTCATTGAGAGCCTAATGCCATCTTCGAGCCCAAAATTGGGACAGAGAAGTAGACAGCCACGGACCATCAAAGAGGGGCGGCCACTCGGTTGGATCTTGATGAAACACGACGACATCAATGAGAGTAGCGGCGTCGTGTTAGCTCTGCAGCGCGCAGTATATCACGACGACTACTGAAAGAAGCGTGATGTGCGTAGAGCGAACGGCGGGAAGGGGTCCGTCAAAAATCGTTCCCCCGTCGACCTACCAAACGTGTCAGGCGTCGATAGTGATTGGATGTGGTAGTCGATGAGGTCGAGAGTAATGGGGTGAATGAGCAGGGATATCGAGCTGACACTAGCGAAGACAAGTCTGGACGAGATAGACCCTCTCTCGGGCGGAATGTAGACATTCGCACCCCAGTTCCAGTTTATGCCACGTAGACTGATCAGGAGATGGGCGAGGGATGACTTGGACAGATCTAATATCCTGCTGGGTGCTTGGGAGAAGGCCCAGATAGTAGCGCGCATAGCGGACACGAAGCTAACCATCTGTATTAGTTATTCCAAAGGCGTATACAGTGAACTTACAAGTAGGAGCTGGTTTAGGTGCATGCGTTTCCTCCCCATTGGACCAGTCGAGCACTACGGCACAGGGATACATGGTGCAGTGTTGCCGGTAAAAAAAAAAAGGCCAGGCGTATCACGAAAGGGTAGGTGCCCGGAGAAAGACATTTTCGCAGCTAAGCGCATTTTCGACGCTAAACCGCATATCCCAAGGGCATTACCAGCTCATTCATAGGTGGCCCCTAGTAAAGAATTACGAAAGCGTACCGTAAAAGCGGGTGTGGCTGAACCTTGACACGAGCCGAACTGAAGATTTCGAAGAGAACTCGATGGGCTGTACATCAGAGCCCAGGCTTGGTGGAAGGAAAACGCGGTATTTCCCTCGCGCTCAACGTCCCATACATACAGATAACAGCAACGATGACGGACAGGACGAACTCCGAAATGTCGGCAAAGGTGGATGAAATCCAATTGGTTCAGATTTGGTCATTTTCGCACGCTGAGGGCGGCTTGCATGGCCGGAAACCCTCGTTCATGGGTTGGGTTGCATCTCGGCCTACGTGGATTTCGCGGAATTTTGCGCTAATAACAGATGTGGAGATCCGGTATCAGTGGCTTTCAAAGAAATACTATCCCGTTGTGGAAGCTCTCAACTTGGACAAGTCTGAGGGTCTACTATTAACCGCTATTTGTACTTGGAGTGTTAGTCCCATTGCCAGGTGCTGAAGAGGATAATATGAACACCGAGGCCGAACCTGGTAGTAATTGAGTTCATTGAGTTCATTGGACACATTTCGGGACTACTTGGTGCTACGCAAACCATCACGAACAAGATATACTTTCGTTGAGAGCACACCTCCCTTAGGAAATGTGAACCGTTTGTTCGCACAGATCGTCTGATCAGTTTGCAAGTTGTGATGCCGTGAACAAGACAGCTATTTCGACAAGTTTCAACAACGTATGACGGCCTCCTTGCATGAAAACCTTTCTTTGGAAGAATATGACCACCATTATAGCTTTCCGGAACCTTATTGACTAGCTGATGCTCACGACGTACGACTTGTAGAATCCAAAGTGGTATGTATTGTTCTATTAGAAACAGAAATAACGGTTGTTGAAGTCATCTTACACACTGTAATGCTGTTTTGTTCCAAAATCATTCAACCGGTTTTCCAGTGTGGTGTTACTGTGGAAAGTGCCAAGGATTTTCGTACAATATGTCGTGATTATTACACACTCAGAGCTCAGGATGGTACGTAAGACGGCATCCAAGACGAATTATTAAATTTCTCGGGAGTTGAAATCTCAGTAACTACGACCCAAAAATTTCAGTTTGACTCTTCAATTAATCCACCAAGGTCCAGGAACGCTGGTTGGAGTCCGGCTAGTGGACTTGAACCTATAGAATTGATATCTACTTGAGAACTTTGGCAAAATTCTGACATACACTGTCTTTATCCAGTATTTTGGAAGTGCCTAAAAAGGTTCCTCTTTGGCGCTCCTGACTTCACAAGGGCGTGAGCGCTGCATTGCCATAAGCAGGTGAGATTTATATTTTTTTTGCCGGCGGCAAAAGACTCTGGAAAAATACAGGTAAATAGAAACCGTCACGTTTGTCACGGCGACAACGTCAACGAACGTCGAGCTCGCCTTTCCATTCCTTTAGGCTCTCGAAAGCTTTCTCTCTCGTCTTCCTTCAGTGATTCTCTCTTCATCCCGGGATGGGACTCAAATTCGGGTCCTTTGATTCCCTATGCGAAACAGCAGCACTCATTATTTGCCCACTTGTTGGCACTGACCAAGGAATTGTACCGACGTGTTATAGTCGCAATGTCGACGTTGGAGGGACGCTTATCTTCCAGCCATGTCAGTTCACTTACCGTTTGTACTGCGTATCTCCCTGACAGTGGAATCCAGCGACATCCTTCATTCATATCGTCGCCATCATCATGACCGCTATTATGATTTACCACATTCGCAGTAAATACACCGCAGTAGGGAGAAAGGAAATTGTCCTTTTCTTCTGGATGTATGCCGTTATACAGTTGTTGGCCTTGTTTCTAGATTCCGGGATTATACCGACCTCGAATGCGGTATATGTAGTGCGTACCGCGATTTGTGCTGTCAAAATTACAGCACTAATCCCCTTTGTGCAGTGGTTCGCTGCTGTGTATACAGGACTTGTTGCCTCCGCGTACTGTTGTATCCTAATCAACGCGTTTGTTGGCTTCCAGTTCGCTGAGGACGGAACTCCACTTTCGTTGTGGTTCCTTCGCATAACCTGTCTCGTCGTATTTGGCGCTGCCTTCTTCGTCGCGATCGCCACCTTCAAATCCTACGTTTCCTTTTCTTACAGCAAGACTACTCCCTTATGGATCGTCTACATATTGTGGCCCGTTATATGTGTGGCGATCTACATTGTTTCCCAGCTGGTTCTAGTATTCCGCACGCTTGAGGATCGATGGCCAATTGGCGATCTGGTGTTCGGCACCAGCTTCTGGGTCATTGGCATGGTCATACTCTTCGCATTTAGTACGACCATATGCGACGCCATCAAGCATTACATCGATGGACTTTTCTTCTCCGAACTGTGCGTGTTACTCAGCGTGATGATGGTGTACAAATACTGGGATAGTATAACGGTAAGAACGATCTACCGCACCTCACTGTCTGTTGATCGCTAAACTCTATTCAACAGCGCGAAGATCTTGAATTCTCAGTGGGTTCCAAGCAGGCTGTATGGGAGGTCAAGGATCCCCTTCTCTCATCTAGCTACCCTTCAAATGCGTCCGCACCGGGTGGAGATAACTCTGAAGAAGACAGCGGTAGTAACTACCATGGAGGGTACAACAATAATTATGGGTATGGCGGAGGCAAAACTGCTTCCCTCGTCGGCGGAGTGAGCGGGGCGCAACTGTATCAACAAAGAGGCGGGTATAACAGAGGGGGCTACCCGCCTGCGGGTGGAGGATATTGATCACGGTATTATTCGGTGTTACGATTATCTCAATGGACCCGTGCTCGTTTGTTCTTTTCACGTCTTAATTACTTTTTGTTATATCCCGCAATCTTTAGCATGCAGCGTTTCGTCGGAGATGAATTTTCTGGATTGGTGGCTGACACGTACAATAAGGGAAGGTCCGTCCATTCATAAAATTGACCCTAGGACTTAGGCTGCAACGACATTGCGGGAGCAGCGGGTTCTTACATTTACACAGCGGCTGCTTGTTGGAGGTGCATCGGACGATTCTTGGACGGATGATGGCTTCACTTGTACGTACCATCGCAGTGACGTTTGCCCGAGAAGGGGATTGCTGCATCCCAATACAGCCTAGAAACCGGGTATTAAGCAGTAACTGACACCGGGATTCTGAGGATCATAGTGATTGAAGGATATCTGTTGTATATGTACCCCTGTGAAAAAATAATATCAAGTACCCTTGAATAGCAACAATGGTGGGGATAATATCGGTCACCGTTCAAAATGCACAAGGACAGCAACTTTGTACAGCAGCAACATCCATCCATCCATCCGTCCGTCCATCAGTGCACGTTCGTCGCACTACACTACTTTGGCAGAGACCCGCGGCTAGTCAGTCCGGCTGTTGAACGCAGACGTCTAAGCCCTCCACGTGGAAGCCATACCTACCTTCGTAAGTTTTGAATTCTGTACGTTACCAAGGGGGAGGGGGGGGGGGGAAGCAGACTCGGAGTAATAACCCCCATTTGTCTTTCCTCCCGCTCGTTCCTTACCCGGCCCTATCCCTTCCTTATGCAGGCTGTATATTCCATCGCAGGGCCAGAATAGGACATAGAATTTTTGATGGCTTGATGTCGGGCAGGCGTCGGGTTTGACTCAATAGAAGCATTGGGTGATGGACCCTCGTTGATGATCAAGTACGCTCGGAGGGGGTGAAAAAACTAAAAAATCGAACTATTCGACAATCAACATTCATCGCAATCATATATGTAAACCCCGGACGCATTTCAATTCCATTCGCTCGAAAATTCGATGGTCCACACGCATGTTTGTTCTGATGCTACGTCTTCGCCTTGCAAGTCAGTTGCTATCAATCTATCTATGGCAAGACCATGCCGTTTTTCTGTCTGCGCTCAAAGTATTTGAAGCTTGTCTGGGCTTTTCCTTTGACCGCACCCGTTCTGCTGTGTGCGTGCCTTGACATTCAGCCTTTTCATTTTCGCTCGGCCCCTTAACTGGCTTGGGGTTTCCCTGCAGTGCTTCTGTTGTTGGTTCTCTGAAAATTGCAATTGTACAGGTGTTGGGTCTCGTCATCCGAGCCTTCCCATACGGGTAATACTACTCGCCCACGCTCGGTCCCGCGTCGAAACCGTAAATAAAAACCCATACGGTCGTCCCACCGGTCCACGGAGATGTCGCGAAATATCCATGCACGTCGACCCGTGAACCAACATTTTCCCCAAGAGACGCTTTGTGATAATCCTCTTAGGCCTCCCGGAAGCGCCTTTTGATAGAGAGACATTGATGGACCCAAAACTGTCGATTCTTCAAAAGAACGTGTTTTTGGTCCTATATAACAACGCTGGCTGTACACGGCACCCATGCGGTGTCCAACCCAATCTCTGCGTAGAAGATCAGGGTGCCGGGATCTGGGCACGGTTAACTGAAAATTAAGCACGGTATCTTAACTAGGCAGTTTCAAACTCCGTTCCGTAGGCCAATATATCAGATGTGGCGGCAATCAGGCCAAGTGTCGCCCGACTGGGGAAAAGCGCGAGTAGTATAATATGTCGATAATTTACGGGATCCGATCCTTGGTGCTAATAGGCGAAGGGCGCACATTCCTTAGGCTTAGCAACACCACAACCATGAGAGACTTCCGAATTCACATGCGACGTAGAACAGGCCCCTGCATCATTTTTTAATATTGGCAGACATATGCATAATCTCAGGGCCGATTATTTTAGCTTTAAATAATCGAAAACGATAAAATGCTGGTTAAACCTAAATAAAGACACATCGGCCCGACGCTTCTCGTGGGTAGGTAGTGTGAATCCCACCGAGTAGCTCGTCCTCGTCGAATGATTCTCCCTTTCGAACCTCTTTTTTTTTTTTCTTTGCCTTTAAGCGTCCGCCGAACAATGAGCGGTGTTTACCGAAAACGGCTCCGGTTGATACAAATCCTTTTTTCACTTCTTACTAGAGTTGTCAGTCTTCTCTTCGGCGGCATGACAAAGTGCCTTTCAAAGGCTGATGAGCGCCGCGCCGTTTTCGTTGGTATGGAATGCACAGCACAGCGTCTTTCAAAAGCTCCGGGTTGCATGGGACGTTCTTGCGATGGTCTGATTGTAGGTGCGAGATACTGATATTGCAACGATAGATTAGATCGCGCGGATGTATACACCATCCGGACCCCGCTGAACGAGACTGCACTCTTTGTCCTTATGTTACAGCCTTCTTGTGATGTGAAAAAAATAATAATAATACAGCGTCATATTGAATCAGTAGTATCTTGTTTAGAAGCTTTTTTGCTCTGTGCCACCATCTGACAGCAGCAAGACGAACAGGGCAGGGCCAACGCGGGGGAATGCCGAGTTGGGAGGGTGGGTGGGTGGGTGGGTGAGTGGCTTTCCTGTGCCGAACCACAAGCTGTGCAGAAATTAGGGATAAGCGGGAAAATGCAGGCTTCGAGGAAGTACGGTAGCGGCTTAATTGGAATGAATGCAAAAAATGATAGACGAAGATTAGGAGGATAACTCCACGACGGGTTGAGATGTATTACGGGCTGGGACCATACGAAAGGTGACACCCACCCCTGACCGTAAATGGAGCTAGTTGACACGGTTTCGGTGTGTGTATTTGTGCATGGCGACGGCCTAGCAGCGTTTGATGGTCCTCGGATTGAAAGCAGTACAATGCTACTACTAATCAGATTCAAAGGGCAGAAATCAAGGTGTAATCAAAGTAGTGCTGTTACGTTGACGGACTGTAAGTGTGCTGAGAAAGAACTGGCTTTATCCGAAACGGTAGGGGGGTGGTTCGAAGGAAATACGAGAATGTCTGGACTAAGAATTGGAAAGAGGAAGAAATAAATTACGGTGGGATTAGTAGTATGGTGCGCCACGAATGATCGCGCCTACACTGGCGCAGCTGATGAAATAAAATAGAAAGGGTTGTTGTATTGTCAAAACATAGGAGCAAAACAAGAGACAAGATCCGGATGAAATCTCGCGGAGGGGGGAAGAGATCTGGACGAATTTACGGCTGTGGATAGGGACGAGCCACGAAAACGGGGACAAACCCGGAAAGGACGTGTGTCAATGAGCAACAGGAAGAGGAAGAGAAGATGAGGGCTGATGAGCGTATATTCGGAGGTGAACAGGACGACGACGAGCATGCCAAATGGGGAGATGGCGAGAGGAAGGCAAAAGAAAAGAAAAGGGAATAATGTGGAATAAATCCACACTAGAAAATGCAAAAAATAATAGGAGCGTGGGAGAATAGGAGCATAAGTACGCCATAAAAGGACATGGAATAAGGGCAAGGCTATGGGGAATCCCTGGGGAGTCCCCCATGCCGGGATGCCGCGTCACGTGTTCGTGCTTAAGTTTCTGAATTGTTGAGGATGAATTTAGGATTTGACGGAATTTGATGGAATTTGATTGGAAAAAAGAATAAGTGGTGAGGCGCTCTGGTTCCAAATTGGGGGGGTGGCCCAAGCCGTGGTGACCCTCGACGGATCCCCTGTTTGTCTCTAAGCGGAAATGCAGCCACGTCCTGAGATCACGTTAGATCATGTCCTTAGATTTACTCCTCCTCCGAGACCGTCATCACTTCCGTTTTAAATATCAGCAATATGCCATCCGCTTCGTCCTTTCGTCTGAACATTGGCTGGCTAACGCTATGGCCTTTTATACACCGTCCTCCATCTCCCATTCCTACACAATGAATGCCCTGCCCACCGAGCTTGTCTGGTTGGTGAACTGGCGACCCAAGGACGTGCCCCTTACCCCACCGATGACCTCAACCTTTGAGCGGAGAAAGGTGCAGCACCGCCCGACGTTGCCTTCAATAGCCCAGTTCGACCGTCTAGCTCATTTCGACCGTCAACTCTCATCTCGCGATTTAGTGTCGGCAATGCCGCCTCGTGCGTCCAATTGTCGCTCTTTTATAAACGCGAATTGACTTGACTCATTTATTTTGTTCCCCGTTTTTAGTAACTCCGCCAGACGATGTGCCACCACCGACTTATTCTCCTGAACCTACTCTCCTTCCTCCACTTGCCACCACCACCACCAAACCGCCCGCGTTCGACATGTCCATTGACTGGCTGGACGTCTCGCGGACGCGTTCAGCACGTTTCATTGCGGAGAAAACTTGCGAGATGATTTGCTACCTTTGGTTCGCGTCCTCGCCGCCTCCACAAGGATCCTATTCACCCCTCAAATCCCCATTTCTCGGCCGGCCCGCTACAGCCAGCAACCTGCAGCTCGTCGCGACGCCTACCTTTGTGCAGTTCATGCAGAAACTGCTCGAGACGACCCAGGTCTCGCATTCGGTCATTGTCCTCTCACTGCACTACATCTTCCGGCTCAAAGACCGAAACAACGGAACCCCGGCCCAGGCTGGCAGTGAATTTCGGATAGCCGTCGCTGCACTCATGATGGCCAATAAATTTCTTGACGAGTGAGTTTCCCCCCGTTTACGCGTCGAGACACGTCTCTCTGACCGCCTTTTCAGCAATACATATACGAACAAAACGTGGTCCGAGGTGTCTGGCATTGAGCTGTCCGAGATAAACCGGATGGAGCGGGAGTTTCTCATGGGTGTTGACTTCAATTTGTATGTCGACAAAAAGACTTACGAGTCTTGGCTGTCTCTGCTCAAGGGACTTGTGCTCGCTAAGGAGAGAGACTGTCGCCGTTTCCGGAAATCACGCACGCCGGCCCGGTCCTCCCGACTTGCCGCTACTACCTCACCCTCCACACGAAACTACTCCTCCCGCTATGCTATTCCTCCACCTCGCGCTCGATCCACATCACCCAATCAGATCTCCCGTCCTGATTACACCCCTCGTCCCCCTGACGCTTCCTTCTCCTACAAATCAGGTTCGAAGCGCACAGCAGAGGCCGCCTTCTCTCCCACCAGCGCTAGTTTCTCGCAGCTACCTTTCAAACGGCCCGCCGCAATCTCCCTTCAGATTCCAGAGTCCTCGGCTTCGTCCACTAATTCCGGTTCCAACTCGCATTCGCCGCTCGAAGGCTTGCAGTCGTTCGCCAAGATGTCCCTGCACTCTCCTTCGCGGGCACCAACGTCCGAGTCGTCTTCGCCTTGGGTACCGATTAAACGTGACACCGTTCCTCAAACGCTCGTTACGGCGTACAACGCGAGCGAAGGCACTCGGAATGCTGTACCTGAGGTGAGATTGCCTTTCTTTTCGCCGTACTTTTCTTTTTTTTTTTGTGCTAATGGGTTCTTTTTCTAGAATCTGTACTTTTATACCCTCGCAGGCTCGCCTATGGTTGATGAAGACCGCCGCGTTCGTCGGCCCAGGCTGCGCTACCATCAGCCTGCGCCACCGTCATCGAGCATTGCTTGCTACTCGCACCGTGCACCGATGCCTGTGAACATTCAGTCTGCGTCGACGAGCCCGAATGACATGCACATGAATCTCGACCCGGTGCATGTACTTCCCCACTTGCATGAAACGGCATGGACGCACCAAGTCGTTCTACCGCCCCTCCATCACCCCAAGCCCAGCCGCCACTACACTAATGATAATACCCCTAGTCCTATCCCCGCACCCTTCGCTAATGCTGGCCCTCCTGGCATCCAGTTTTACTCTACAGCCTCGCGCTCCCCGCCTTGCTATACACCACCCCATCGTGATAATTGGTATCGTGGCCGCGGGTATTAAACAGAAAGTAATGATAATATTGAAAAAGCTTACGACTCGTTGTCCATCATGTTCCCCACGCAACATCTTTCAGGACCTTCATCGCATGTATTTTGCATTCCAATCAATTACAATTGCACTCTCATCCATATACCACATTATCTCACTTATTCTGTTGTATTTATATCCATCGTCCGCTGTAAGTAAACGTTTGCCTTACCCTGAAACTTGTAGGATACTTTGACAGCTATGTATTTGGTCGGGGATGGGTTTGCAATGTAACGAAATACCCTCCCTCGCTCGCTCGGCTCCTAACAAATGCAGTTCGATTGAAAGATAAAAAGTAAGACCGACCGGAACATGTACTGGGGCAGCGGGTCATTCCGAGGTCGGCTAAATGAGACGTCCATTCATGTCTGCAAACCTTATCTAATGACTCCTCGTACCCTCTGCATGTGGCCACAGTTGTAGCAGAATTTCGAAAGGGGTAATGGGTCCTGTCAATTATATTGCAAACGGTGGATGGAAGGTGGTGTCTCCGGGAACAAATGCAAGTTCATTCGTAGGGGGTAGGGGGCTATGTTATGCTAATGCTGGTTAGTCAGACAGAGTTGACGAATTAATAAAGGATCCAGGATCCGAATCGATATCAACGGAGGGGGTGGGGGGGGTGCCCTCACCACAAGGTTAACGTGATACGAGAAAGATATAATATAATATACAATACACCATCTCCGGCATTGGATGATTCGGAATTACTTAAGCCATCGGGACCCACCTAGCCCCCTCCTTTCTATTCTATTGCAAGTTGAGGGGGTTTGGAATTGGGTGTCTTCTGCGTGCTTACCCGTTGTCCAGGGAAAAATGGTATTTGCATGAAAATGACACTTGTGGTTCGCTGCCACGGGCGTGGATACGTATCGGGCCAGAGGGAAGACCTAGGGGGCGACGGCGTAATGTCGAATGACTTGACGCCTCGCCGGATAGCCTTGCACGGAAGAAGGGGGCCAAAAAAAAAAAGGTTTCGAAGCTCAACCTTTACTTAACGTATACGACACAATTGAGGCAGAGACGGGAGAACAAGGGCGTTCGTTCTCCCATCGTAATTATGACAAGCCAGAGGTAAAGTAACATACAGGGTCCGCGTCATACATATTTGCCCTTTTTTCACCTTGGTTTCCACGACAAAATGGATTTTGAGGCACGGTTTCCACCGGTTATGTGGGTCGTTCCTCGCCGGGACGATCATGCGATGGTTCCTTTTGACGCTTCTCCCACTCAACTTGGAGTTGCTTAAGGGCTGTTTGGGTGAATGCCTGTATGTATACGTTAGGTCGTCATATGGACAGTGATTGGCTCCATGCAAGAGCCCGACCGACCTCCGTGAAATAATACCCGGACAAGCCACCCGTTACTGCGAAAAAAAAAAACAAAAAAAAAAAAGGGTATGTAAGATGTTGTGATATACGCACTGAATGCATGGCACGCTCACGGACGATGGTGATGATTGTTTTATTCCGGTTGAGGCCCATGAACTTGGCACCGATGAGACCTGGAAAAAAAAAAAAAAGACAGTGAGCAGCCAGCAACGGGGGTGGTGTGAGAGAGGCTCGCCTGAAGCTAACGCCGAAGTCAGACCCGCAAAAAGTCCTTCCTTGCGACCTTCCTAGAATAAACCGACATTGACATACAAATGTTTTTGCCAAACCCGCGGCGAAGCACCCACGGTTGTTGCCCGCTGGACAGCATCGGCAGGAGGGGGGTTACCAGCGTCCATTGTTTTGCCCAACAACGATGAGGCGAACTTGGGCACTTTGCGCGCGCGGAAATGGAAGTAAAAAGTAAAGTAAGCAACGGGTAATGGTAAATGTCCCAGAATGGCAGGTCAGTCCGATCAGGGTGAGTGACAGGGTCGTGACCGTGATGACGCGACGCCCACTTCTGATGTCGACGGCCAAGAAACGGTCTGCTCACGGTCTGCAGCAGGCATTCCAGTGTATTAAGGGTGAGGGGGCTGCTAGTGCAGTTGTTGTGTTACAAGCTAATAGGCGCGTCGACCAGATCTGCTGATTAGCGCGAAATCCCAGCTGGACGACACCAACGTGGCCGTGCGACCGACACTGGTGAAGAATCTCTATCGGGTTGCCTCTCTCGCGGAATCGTTTACGGAACAGAGGCCGAAGACTGACAAGGACTGCGCCGAGCTCGCTGACGGACTGGATCAAGAAGGCGCGTTTTTCCATTCTATTGGCACATATCTCAATCAGACAAATCCATTCAAGGTGTCAATCTGTGGAACATATCAAGTCTAGTCCGCAAATGCCCCGAGGACGACGGCCGGGCTGTTGTCGCGGCACGTAAGCTCTCCGTTGGCATTTGCACATTTGATCTTTATTCGTTCCTCCTAGTCAGACTTGCCGCTTTCCGTCTCGTTGAAGCAGGGTTAGAACAGAAGCCGGGGATAGAATGTGTGTATCCAGGCCCTTTCCCTTGCTGCGTAACTTATCCCTTATTAGCCCTTCTCCATGTTCTCCAGATGGCAAGCAAGACAGGCGCCACCCTCTCAGGTCTGTGATCGGCACTTTATTCCTCACGCTGAGTTCGAACCTCTTTCAATGTCAGAACTGGGAAACAACGATATCGCTGGAAGTGTGCTAACTAGCGCCGCAAAGGTTAATATAGTGATCATCTTTTCTCGTCCGTCTCCGTTTCAATACAAATGTCGTTTAGTATGAAGAGCTCTTGCGAAACGCACAAGACCCGGATGGCACGCATCGTCAGGCTAGAGCGCGCGCTATAGTAGTCTACTTCTCCAGTCGCATGGAGGCTGTGAGCAATCTCCCCGGTCCGCCGACCCCAATCCATCCCGTTACTGATCATCGTGCAGGCATGGCAGGAAGGAAATCATACCGTAGCTGATTTCATGTCCTCCAAGATAACGGGTATGTGCAGTGTTCCGTTCTAAAAGGAATGCCGAGATGGGTCTCACGTGCATCACACAACCAGACGATGACCAGCGTCTCGCACTACTACCACCTCATGATGTAAGTCCAGTTTTGGAATAATGATTCGCCCCATTGTTGACATCAACTATCAGCGTACTCTTCTGGCTACCAAGTTCCATAGCATTGGGAGGGCCATATTAAAAAGCCACGCCGCATCGGACAACAACGGAACGAAGGCTGCAGATGCTGTGGTGTGGTTACAGAACGCATTCACCATGGCGGACCAACTAGACGACTCGGCCGTGTCCGGTGTGCCACAACTAAAGGTCGTGCACAGCCTTGCTATTCAGTTACTGACTCTCACGATGGGTTTATCGATAGATATCGATGCTGAGAACTCTAGGTCTGTGTTTCGTGCCTTGCGTCCTGCAGTCGCGGCTGAAGAAGCATATGCAGCAAGAGCGTATTTCCTTTCGGGGTCATACGACAGAGCAGAAGCCACACTTGACGAACTCGTCCCATCCATAGATTCCTCAGATGATCCCGTAGGTTCACTTAGCGCGCTCTCGACTCCCCCCTACCCTGAAATCTTATATAGGCAAGCTCCGAATATCAAGAACTTCGATGGCTGCGATTGGCTATCCTTAAACGGCGAAAAGCTGGCGATCCAGCTCTGTTAGATGGTCAGTGCACGTAAATCGATCTGACTGATATTTCAACTGGGCTGTTATAATATCGCTAACCTGATATCCTTCGTTTTAGCATTCAAGTCTATAATTGATCACATGGAATTAACGGAGTCTCGAATAACTGAGTAAGCTCGGTCCTCTCGACGTAGCCTAGATAGGCATGCTCACAGCATGTCAGCATTCTACAGGACTTGCGAACAATCAGCCACCAACAGTAAGTACATGTGTCTCAGGTAAGGCAAATGCTAAACAGGTTCCGTGCTCCAGTACCCTCGTTACTGCCGTCAATCAGCACTGTCTGAAACAGGCTCTAGCATGTTCTGACCGGTCCTGCGGTCATGTTGACCGACTGCTTCTCTCGTTGATCGTCCACTGCTCGAAAGACGAAGACCACGCCAGAGCAATGGTGGCCATCGATTCATCGTTCACATGTCAGTGAACCTTCCAGCTAACCCCTCCCCCCCGACTGATTGGAAATATCTCGTCCTCCTCCTTTTAGCCATTTGCGAAGCAGACTACGAACTTCCGAGTGTACCGGCAACAGCATGTCTTACGGTGTGTGTTTTCTCTTATTCGCTTATCCGCGTTTTTTTGGCAATATAACCCCCCTTGTGCCCTTTTTTTTTTCTTTGTTAGCTTTTATGGCAATATGGTGATCGTCACTATCACGCAAAGAGATGGTCGGACGCGGCAGATTGGTTTATTGCCGGTAGTCACAAGCTGTTCCGAAAAAACTGCCCAACAAGTAGCTCGAAATGTTACCGGAAAGCGGCACTTTGTTATATCGAGCACCGGGAGTATGCTAAGGCTTCGGCCGCCATCCGCCGCTGTCCCATCACCGAAGCAGCTACTCATTATGTTATATTCCTTACTGCTGTTCATCAAGGTGAGCGGCTGATCGTTACACGGAGGAATTGAAGTTTGAAGTATTCATTCGACTCTGCCAAGGCATCGATGATGAAGGTCCGTTTTTGTTCTGGTTCTTGTATGTATGAGCGCTCCATCGCATAACGTTACCCTACCACTCTCTAGCCATTAGAGCTGTCCAGGACATGATGAAATCACTTGATTTCGACCGAAAGATGCTCCTTCTAGCCACACAGATTTCACATGAATCAGAGAACAAGCGGATCCTTCTAGCTGCCCTGGAAGCTCTTCTCAAGACCCTGAAACTTTCAAAGGGCGGTGAGACTGTAGTGGAAGCGATGTCGTTGCTTCGCTGCATCATCAAGCTTGTGCTCAAATTGCTTACCGAGCCTGCCGCTGATAAGTGTGTCGGATGCTTTCGTGTTTCCCGCCCCTCGTTAATTTAATTCCAGACCAGTCCTTATTGGTGCAATGGTGGAGCACTTCCAGACGGGTAAGTTGACCCTCGAACCTTGCTTGTTGGTGATTGAAAATAGCCCCCCTTCCCCCCCACCCCCCCCTCCAACCCACACAAAGCGAAGATCCTCATCGAAGCTGCCAACGCTCAAAAGGCGTTGGATCTGATAAGCAAAGATGTCTCATGGTTATGGAGAACAGCATTCAACTGCGCTGTGCAAGGATGTTCGGAGTGGGAAGGTTCGGGCAGCGAGGGGCGGATCTCGGATATGTTTGACATAGCGCGAGATGTGAGTAATTAAGGGATGGGGATGAGGGATGGATGGGCTGACTGATTCTACGATATTTTTCCAGCTGCTAGAAACGTGTTGCCAGGCATCATCGACATCACCTGTAGACGTCGATGCGGAAGTTTATTTACATCTCATCATTGCGTCGTTCTCCGGAGTCTCCGGCCGGAGTGAGTTCCCCCGCCCCCCAAGCCCTTCCCTTTCCTACTTAACCCCATTTCTCCTCCTTTTTACTCCTAGTCTTCACACTCCGGCAATCTCGGGAACCCGACACGGAGACCAGTATCAATGTGAGAAGCCTTTCCCTTAACTTTTTTTCTCGTGTTTTCCCCCTTATCTGGACTTGGTGGCTCGTGATAAAAAAAGGCCCGGATACGTGATATATCCTCGGAAATCAGGACGTGTCGGGAGAGGGTTGAGGAGATCCAGGGGAAGGGAGTGATTACGGATGAGAATGATTTGATGAGGGTGGGGTATTTTTTGCACACGTTGAGGGTGTTTGAGGTGGAGATGCTGGTCAGGTTGGGGGAGTGGGAGGCGGTGGGCAGGGTCGTTGGGGTAAGTTTGGTACTTTACTTTTGTTGGGACTCTGGTTTGATAATGTTCTTGGTAGGATACAGTTAAGGCTGGTCCGCTAGCGGCGAGCACGTACGAGGCGATTGCGGATGTTCTGGTAAAGGCTTTTCTTACCCTTTGACCGCTTTCCCTTTTCTGATCCGCGGTTTATTTGGGGCATCCGTCTTAGTGGGTGAAGAAAGATTGCCCGATCAACAGTATGTATCAAAAATAACTACTACTTCCACTGCTACATAAACTAAATATGTGCTTTTTCCGGTAGTTCTTTACGTGGGGCTGGAGGTGAGTCGTCGCCGTTGTTTGGGTTTCCTCTCGGGAACGAACGAACGAACGTACGCCAGTCCATCCTCCGCGCGAGCCTCGATCACAACTCGCTCTCGATTGACAAGTTCTCGAGGTGGCTGAGAGCGCTGTGCACGATTATGATAGCGAGGAATGATCGGCTCAAGGCGATTGGGTACGTCGAGCAGGCGGTCGGAGTTATTAAGGGAAGTGTTGGAAGCGATGAGGTAAATGTTCTGCTGTGGGTTTTCTTTTCTTTTCACGGTGCTGTTACCCTTCCCCCCCTCCGTAGCCTTACCCCATGGACGAGCGTTTCTGGTTGCTGAGCACAGCGTATAACGTTGGGTTTGAATGCCTGGAGTTTGATTTCCTTTTTCCTTTCATCACCTGGAGCTTATTTGTATGTATAGGTCATCGGCGTTTGATGAAGCCAAGAGATGGTTCGAATCGAGCACGGTTATTTGTAGGTACGTGCCTGGGGGGAAGGAACGGGCTGAAAAGGTATGTCTTTGATTGTTTTACCTCTGGGAAGTGCGCCAGACCCGTGGCAGATCTCGGATACGTATACGCGCTTGTTGGAGAGATGTGCGACTGGGTAAACGTGCGGTGCTTCTCGTCTGTGGTTCTCGCTCTTTGGTCTTGTTGCTTTGCCTTGCCTCCCGTGTTCTTTGTTCCCTTGTTCTTGATCTGTGATCTTGCGCCGCCTTCACTCTGACGTAGCGTAGCGCCGACTGTTCTGTTACCCTGTCCCGCTTTAAGTATAACGGGTAGCCATCATATGCATAGTTTTACTTGTCACGGCAATAGTATCATATGATGTCTATTCTACTTTTACCATGAAATCACGACTTGCCGTAGTCCTTTAGGTGATAAAGCAACACCCTTCCTTTTGTGTTCCCAATAACAAGATAATCGCTTCGCGGAGAGAAGTCTACAGCGGTGACGTGTCCAATAGGACTACTTGATGTAGGCCAGTTGGAGAAGGCTGTGAGCGATGGAAGATGTATCTAAATGAAATGTAATGAATGTATGAAGGCAAGGGACGGGAACAACTAACCAGTTTCATAGCATCTTTCTTCTCCCGGCTGGCTATAGCCATTAACTGCGCGTCGTGGTTAAAGCGTAACGTTGATATCGCAGTCGTCAAATTGCCGATAGTCTTGGTTGGTTTCGGATGGACAGTACTACTGGTACCACCAGTGAATGCATCGGCGGTGTACATGTTCACCAAGCCGGTGTTTGATCTGAATAATTCCAACGGCAACTGTCAATGACGAGCACGTGATGGAGTGGATAGGATGGAGCTTACCCAATAGCCATCCACCCGCCAGTCGTGGTCCCGGCGATAGCACGGCCCGCCCCTCGGAACGCACCTTCATCCCGCCACCGCCTTACACACCTCCGCTGACCAACATCCCATAGGCAAACGTCGGCATCTCCCGTGAGCATCGCCAGGCCCTCCTCCTCCCCTTCCTTCGTCCACCACAACTGCCTGATCCCGCCACCCGCCCCACACTTGAGCGTCCCGACAACCTGCCCGCCCCCGCTCTGCCAATCAACAAGATGCACGTTCCCCCCTCGACCTGCCACAGCCAGCATCCCGCCAGTAGGCGAAAATGCTGTTATTTCCATGCACTCTGCCTTGGCAATTCCTGGGCTGGAGAACCGCGTTCCCCATAACCCATTGTGCGTTTTGAGAGCCCCAGACTGGAGGTCATACACGGCGTAATAAGGACGATTACCAGTAAGGAGGAGGTGTGTCCCTGATGGGTGGAAGGAGACGGAGGATTGGGACGTGAATGGGATGGTGGGTATATGCAGTGTTTGCAGAAGTGGGGAGGTGTGTCCATCGACGTTGTATAAACGCACTCGACGGTCCGACGTACCGACGGCAAGAACGGGCACGCGCTCGCTGGGATGGAATGCGATGGATTTGACGTTGGCCTTTTGTGAAGACTGGTTGGCGTCCCGGAGTCGCTCGATAGCGAGAACCCCAGGCGATAGTGTGTGTCGATTCTGCCGTGAAAGTATTCCCCCCGTTGATGTGAATAGGCTGTCGTCGTTATCTTCATCGTCTTCGCCTTCGCGTCGCCGTTTCTTGGCCCATGCAGGAGCTGGATGTATGCGCTCAAATTGGCGGCGAAGGCGGGACTCGTACTCTCGGCCCGACAGTGTCGTTTCAGAGGGTGCGTCACGGAGTTTTCGTGTGCGGTTGGACGCTACGAGGGAGACAACAGGAGGATCGGAAGGGTCTGTCCATGCTGATTTTTTGCGAGAGGAGAGTACGGGTTCCGGTTTCGCCTGTCGTTGTGTAGGCTCTGCTTCTTCGCCGTCACTTTCTTTCCCTCTTTCGTTTTCCTCGTTGTCATCTTCCTCATCCCTGATAGCGTCGCCAGAAGGCCTAGCTCCATCATCTACGAAGAACAACTTGGAAAAACACACAGTTTAGCTTATCGTAAGAACAATAAAAAAAAGTAACCACACACGTCTCCATCGGTAAGGTTCTGAAGTTCCTTCTCATTCTCTTCCTCACCCTCGTCTTCGTCTTCTAGCACAGTCTCCTCACCAGCCGGGACATACGGAACCCCAAAAAGCAGGCTCTCCAGCCTTCTCTCTTCATCGTCCTTACTCGCATCGTCGTTAGCTGAGGTCTTCTGGCGTTTAGGTCCGCGTTTCGGCATCTTATAATTCAGACCGCATGAAAAAGAGAAAGAAAAGGTAGAGAGAGTATTTTTGGACGTCACTTTGTTCCTGTTTGTTCATTGCTTCTACTTGCCGAACACGGCCGACCTATACTTGGCTTGCGACTTCTACTCTCACACATTCCTTTAGATCTCGCGCACATGAATCTTCTGAATCTCGTTTTCCTTGGTCCGAATAACTCATACTTTGGTGCTGGTCTCGACCGACCATTGGATCCGAAGGGAACTCTGAACTTACTTTGTCTGAACTACCGATTGTCTCGCAAGCATGTTCTGTTCTAAATGCTCAAGGCTCAATCACTGAAAAGAATGTAATTCAGGGAAAATTTAACGAACGGGGCTATATGAAACACTGGAAGCTGATCTTGTGCATCCCAAGTCTATGGTCTGTCCGTCACGAGGTGATTTGGCAAGTCGTAGCTATTCTAGTGACTCTGATTTCATTGTCTCGGATATTCTTTTAGTTCAGTAACACTACAGTAACCTGTTTTTGACAGACCTGGGCTGATCAGACTACTCTTTTATCGCAAGACTTCGTCGTTCGTCGACGTAACTCTGTTTGTTCAAACGTGACAACCCATACAGGATTAGGCATGGTCTCGATCAAAGGCTCATTATTTTGTGACCCATGGTAATGACGGCCAATGTGACAAGGTGATACAAAGTTTCTTTCATGCGTCAAATCCCCTCGGGCTGACATCTCGAAAAGGTCCTACGTTTACAGATGCAAATGTCAATAAATGGCCTTCTTTCGTGTTTTCAAAGTTGTATCCGGAGCTTTTCTCTGCTTTTCACAAGCATCTTAGAGTGCTTTCATGCTCTGGACCACCTCTGGGCGGTAGGTATCATTTTCTGTACCCCCAAGGCGTAGTCGTAACTACGCCTTAACGTCTGCAAGCCTTCACAAACCTCACGTTAACGCAAACGTATCAAACAAGGGATAGATGATGTACGTACTCAGTCATCCTTTGCATTGCATCCGGTCCTCGTCGCAGAATATACGATGAACGGGACAAGATAAGATCTGGTGGCTTGTTGACCTCAAGTAAGTACTCAAATACGTGATGAAGATTATGACGCATACGACAGAATTGTGTCGCGCACAACGGATCGTATCATCACAGATCTATCAAATTGGAATTTGACCGAATTTGTGGGGAACTTAGAGTGAGTAAGAATTGGGTCGTGGACCTGTTGTCACTACTCACAGGAGATTAACATTCAAGACGGGAGCCATCTCGCCCTTTCTAGGTTGATGCATCTAACCAAATATGAGGTAAACGCGAACCTGCACTTAGAGCCGTGGATGAAAGCCCTGACAGCAACGAATTTTTTGTCCTTTCACAAAGCTTACGAGTGAGTGATATCAGCATGCTCGTGGTGACGCTTCCGAAAAATATTGACGATAATAAGAGGATTCGTCTCGCACATGAAAGGTTCTCAGCTGATAAATTCAACCCTAATTTTAGTAAAGTTGCACGCGTTAGTGGTGTATGCATGTACCCCAAGAAGCGTCCTTCACTGCCAGTGTAAACACACAACGTGTGTCATAGATCGAACGACAGTGCTCAAGTGCACGATCGAATGTAACTAAATTTTGCTCTGCTTTTTTTTTTATCGGAGTGCATTTATACCTACAAAAATTCCGCTGATTGCCTCATGTGTCTGATATCAATAATAAGGACGTGTATAAGTTAACCTACTCTTCCGTGGGTGATGGCTTTAGGACGATAAGCACCGATTATTCACAATCATCCAGATCGGTGTTAGAACAACTTAACGCTGGTACCAATAACAACGCAAAAGAAATCTCTGCTCCAATACCCGGTTCCTTGGCTGAAGAAAGGGCTCTGAGTTCCATTATTGCGAAAGATGCAACCCCACATCTAGCATTCACGTCCCACAAGCTTCTCCCGCACTGTCAGCCCAAAGCTCAGTCTAAATCTCCAGGTATTCTAATCGCAAGAAAACTACCGACAGTGACCCAGCGTTTGTGGAACGACACTCGACACCGCAAAGTCCCAAGTACAGTTACTTGCCTGCACCATACCACACCATTCTTGCCGTAAGAAGTATAACGTATGCTATGGGTGACGTATTGTCTCCCCTGATGTACACCGAGGCACCTCCCCTCTCTCCCCCTGAGATTTCCCCGAATCTTTTGCACCTCCAATTTCGTTCCGTGACGTCGGCGCCACACGAAGCGAGATTCCGTCCCCTTCCCTCCCTCCCCGTCTATAAAAGTATGCCAATCTCGGACCGTGAAAAAGGCAATTGGACACAGCGCGGTTTCCCTAGATCTGGGAGCGGGGATTTGGAATTTCTGATCAAGTACAAGAGAGTGTGGCGCGAGGTCGAGGTGGATGTCTGGGTTAATTGAACGATTTGGGGAGGGAGAAGTTCATTGTCATACGGGCACGAGGCCTTAAGGTTAATTATCTCCGGCTTTTTGGGGGAGGGCCTGTCGGGTTAGTAAGTATGCGTCACGACAGAGAAAGATCGGACAAGGAGTCTGAGCATTTACTATCTAATTGGCAGGGACGACGAGGGTCCACGAGGACGGGGTTAATATCCATACTGGGCGGAAGAATACAAATTGTCCGTTGGATCCGTTGGCACAGAAGTGGTGGTGGATGCTGTTTGCGATCGATTTACGGGATTGTGGCACAAGAGAAAGGGTAAAAGAAAAAGAACTTTCGATTACATTTGCTACGGCTTTTCCTTCCGGATGAAAATCGTGTAGGATGAGCGGTGGGGGTTAAGGCCTAAGGTTGCAGCGGTGATTAACTTACGAACAATGGGAAGAGTACAATGTGCATCTAGGCATCGCGACTTTGGGGGACATACAGGAATTGAGATATGAGATATCTCGAAGATACTCCGAATTTATCCAACCGAGGCGGAATTTGCCGCACAAGAAACGCGTTGAACGAGCCTCGGTGAGGGGACCATGTGTGGACCTACTCGGACCTACCCGTTAAGCTCTACCCGTTAAGCGTCAGAAGTAGGCGGGGAAAATGACAGATCGGGTATAATTTTTCTTTCCCATTCCCTTTTGTCTTGAACAATATCCACCAGTGTCGGGCCCATACCTGTCCGCACGGCAGTCAAAAGGTGCAAACGTTGTTCTTTTCGACCGGATTGTTATGCTAACCGCCAATAATATTAGGCAGAATTACCGCTTTATGCGCTTAGAATCCAGCCCAGACCTGTCGCAACTACTTGCACCATGATGAAAGAACATCGATACCCTTCAATGCTGAGAATTCTATTGTGAACGGCGAAAAAAATAGGAATAAGCAGTGACTGACGGTGCGGCTGTAAGTATAGCAGCTTGAATCATCCCAAGCCAGTCGTTGGACTTCCCAACAGTGGACTCAGTACGGACGACGTTAAAAATGACGCTCATTATCCCGCGGGGCAAGACATTCCGCATGTCGCGGGCCGACAGTCAGGATAACTTACAGCACCAAGTCCCAAGTACTTAAAATTTTTTTTGCTTGGTTCAGCATCTGATTTTGTAATTGATAGATCAAGAACCACAGCGTGGGCCAAGCTGTTCCGGGATGATTCTGGAATCTATTACATCTACCCGTGTCTTTCATACATGCATGTCTACCGGTGAAAGAACGTACATTCATCGTCCCCGTTCCGTCCTCATATCACGCGCTCTCTTCAAGTATAGGCCGCTTGTCAAATATCGGAGAAAGTAACCATGCCATCGGGCTGCCACCATGTTGTCATTCATTCGAGTCATACACATCCATCTCCGTTTTCTCCGTAATTCGTACTTGTTCACCCTCACGAACGACGTAATTTTCTTGGTCTTGTATCATCATCATCATCAATCTGTTGCTATATTCAATCCAACACTCTCTTGACGTCTCGACTGGAATTTTCGACCCATCGCCATCATCTACCTACTGGTACATTGGTTCCTTAAATTTTCGTACGCGTGGAGTGTCCTTCACGTTTGGGCAGAATGGAAGGATGCGTATGATATTGCCTTGATCGGCGCGGAGCTGGTGACTCAAGGGAGCTTCCGATCAATTGGACGCGTACGAAGGTGAAAGAAAAATGTTCGTTTCGGATACATCATGTCACCGACTCCGGACTCGGAAGCGCCTCCTTACCCACGCTCCAACAATAGTCGGTGGTATGTCTTCGTGTTCTCACCACCAAGGTCCTGATCCGAAGTATGGTCTACCACGGCCAAGGTCTCCCGGCGTCTGCCACTGCCAATATATCCTTTGACAGCGCCCGCTTATGCTCTGGATGGCTTTTTCGTCGTGGTGCGAATTGATCGCCAATGGTGTGAAGGAGTTGTTGAGCCATAGCCGTGAGGTGAGGTTTATGTGTATCGGTTAGCCCTTATGCCATTGGACTGATTCGAAATCATTTCTCCTTCGCTTTCGATAGTCGGTTTGATGCTGCTGGCTGAATCAGCACTTTTTGGACTTTTGGACTTGAAGGATTTCGAGCGCTGGCTTGGGCTATTTAGAGCTTTCTTGGCCTGCATCGCGGTAGAAGCGCTGGTCGATCCTCATACTGCGGCGATCTTTGAAATCTAATGTTTCAAACCATCTCATGGAAGCCATAGCAAATAGTTCTCTCCCCCTCGTTTTCCCCGTTCCATCGCCTCTCTAACAACGGACTTAAACGACGCTTTGCGAGTTGTTGTGACACCCGCCCGCCACTTTGACCTCATCGGACCCGTTTTCCTCGGTATTTGGGTTGGACTTATAAGTTCGGGATTGGGAGACACTTCTAATGCTGAAATCGTTGCTGGGCCGCCCATCCTCCTCTTGCTCCGGTGGCAATTACCAAGTTGGGTTGTCTCGTCAAGAGCCGTTGCCCTGAATGTGGCGGCTCGTATCATAAGCCTTGGTTCTGCAGGGTTGCATACTGATTCTTTTGCGCCTACTTATTACATGGGGGTTGCCACGCATTTGGTGCATTTGCATGCGATCGAGGGATGCAGCGTGGATATAGCACGACAAGGGAACGGCAGGGAGTGACGAGAGAACAGAAGCGGAAGGGCCCCTTGGGTGATCTTCGGCGTACTTCATAACCCAGCAAGACTTGAATAATTGTGGTCTAATGCAGATGCACCCTGGGGGAGAAGAGACGAAGGGGGTTTAAGTCGCGCAGACCGCCGTTTAGGATATTGTCGCGGAGGCTGTTCTCATTGGCACCCTTCATCGACGCGATCGAATTTGTTTTCACACCATTCGCTCGTGGACATACCTTACCCTTGTAACTATGGTCACGAGCTCATCTCTCAAAGTCCAACACAGACGGACTAGGAAACAAACATTGCATCGGCTAGTGCCGGTCCGGTCCTCGATAGTTGCGCAATTGAGCAACCTGCGGGACGTGGAAAGTCTGCTCGCTTCCACCCCTATGTGAAAAGGCCGGCTATTCAATATATATTCCGCTCTTTTGTCGCCCTCATATTTGGTTGTGAGCGTGTGAGCGGTAAGTATACGCTTTTGTCTTCAATTTGTTGCTGATACTTTGGACTTGTGATAAATAATCATAGGGTCTAGGCAGCGCCTTATATCTCTGGGTGTCGATCTGAAATGATGAAAACTTACAGTTCTGCTTCAATCACGGGACATCCCATTCGTTTCGCTGAAACTCGGTCCCGTTGGGGTTGAGTTACTTGTACGGACGAGTTCGCGCCCCTCTAAATTGAATATGTTTTAGATATGCATGACAAGAAGTGGTTTTGGCGTTGCTTCTTTGAATATGCGCCCATTGTCTACGCTCGCAAGGTCGGTTCGAGTTCATCAATTCTTCGTCGTAGACTTAGGATGCCCAATATATCCAAAGGTCTAGGCTCGAAATGATACCTTTCTGAATGCATTCCAGCGCGTTATCAGTCTTCTTGCCAGGAGGTTGCTCCGTGTAATCGAAGACCTATCGTCGACGATTATGCGAGCTACCCCCCCTCCTTTCTGTCGGCGATCTGAATGAGTTTTTGGTTGATTCGGAAGGCCTGTTGTTTTACAAAGTCAGGCATCCGGGGAATCATACTTGCGTTTCATAAAAGAAAACGAGCGAGTATTTGTCGACATAATACCATTGTTGGCTTTGTGTCAGGTACATCAATACCAGCAAGCCAGCGGTGCTTACGCGAGCGCGTGTTCGCATGGTACATACCTTGAGCTGGATGCGACAGTCACTGATAGCAGTAATGCTTAGTCGCACGATATCCATGCTTAAATTCTTCGCGGGATCTCCGATAATGTCGACTAGTGGAGATGTTTCGTTCCTTTTCGGTTATCGGGATGATGGATACTCATTTCTCCTAACTCAGTCGTACCAATCGTATGTCATTGTTGACTTGATGTTCACTGGTACGTACTTTAGTTTGGTCCGTCTACAACGTTGACTGATCAACTCAGTCCCCAGCGCCCTCCAAGCGAACGCTATATTTACGCTATTCTCTCTGGATAATTCCCCAGTCCTAACATTAGAGAGCCAATGACGTTGACTCAGCAAGTGCCTTGTGCTCTTGTGCGTCATTCTATCTTTTCGATCCTCCCACCAAGTACAAAGTCCGTAAAGCATTTCCGAGTACATGATGACATCACTGCCCGGTCGGTCACCTGTCTTCGTTGATGATCATCCGGTTCTCAGCATTCTCCATATTACCGGCGGCCACGTGTTGTTACCATACGGTGGACACATTACTCTTCATTCTTACCAACTCGGTCCTTCACATGCCTGCACTCGGAGTCTCAGACATACGGCTTAATGAACCTTGATGATCTATAGATACAAGAGACTCCGGTTTTGTGGAGGTCAATTTGTTTCTCACAGCTTGGAAAACATTTGCTTTCCGCCACATTTTGATTGAGAGTCATCGCCGCCGAGCCCCGTTCACCTCAGCGGAGCAGCTGATCCTCAGCCGTAATCGCCCTGGTCGATGAGGACATGTCCGGTATCCCTTTCAGGCAGGCCGAAAGCCGTTCTTGGACTTCTGACATATGTAGGATGAAGCGGCCCTCGGTGACTCGGCATAAATCATTTACTCTGGTCTTTCGTACGCATGAAACTGAATCCTAGTTGTAGTAGGTCTTCTTCCCTCGCGAATGGACCTTCCACATATGCCCGTAATCAGGGAAAGCGTTTATCAATGATGACATGAATATATAATCACATAAGTCGTTCCTTTCGATTTCTCAATAACATAGTCTTCTTACCCCGGTCCTTCGTCGACAGGCTCAAGTTCCGTGCCATGTATGTATACGGTGATGAGATCACAAACTTTGGCGTGGAGATAACTTAAATGCATCAGAGGTAAATTATTTTTCCTTTCCTTCATTTTCTTGTGATAGCGTTTCCGCATGTAGCCTTCTCTCTGGTCTAAAAGGTCCTATCTCAGCTGAGCATCCTTGGTCCTGAGCTGCTCGCGGATACTATTCGTAAACTTCTAACCTGCGTTTAGTAGTCGATCTTGTAAGGTACCGTCTTCACGCTCCTCACGATACATTACGTTAACAACGAACCAACCTCTTGCTTTCGCTGCTGGCAGTTTGATTCATCTACAACTTTTCTGTTCCTCTTTTTCCTATCGACCCCGTCGGCGCCGGCATATGTATATGAGCAGTCATATTGGATGTTCGTTGTCATTACATCTACTGGGTTGTATATATGTTGTATCCTTGTTCGATTTTTGCACTCACCACCGAAATGGAGGCGACGATCGCTAGCGAGCGTGGTGAATACTGAAAGCATTCCAACCATAGTGCTCCCCGTCGTCTCGAAACTGAAGATGTGAAATCCTAATCGACTCCGATCCATCACCGAAGACATAACCCACACCATTCAACATAAGTAAAAGATTATTTATTTCCTGAGGGATAAACTTGGTTAGTCAAGCCTATTATGCCAACAATTCTTCTCTTTGAAATATTGTAACATAGCACATTCGATGGGCAGTCGGCCGGGGAGCTAGCTTACTGTAAATCATCTCAACATCAGTGCAGGGTAGAAACAGGGTCCGGCGTAGGTCCAATTTACTGCCAAAGCCCCTGGCCACTGCGCATTGGGCGCATGACATCACTTATCTTTCACCATCATCACCGTGACTTGCATTCTCGAAATCTATCTCCTTCAATCAGCCGCGGGTAGCTTGTGCGATCCCCAAGATAGCCTTAAAGATCAAATCCAGTGATCTGGTTCGTTGTTACTGCATCTTGGTGCTTGTTGATATTGTTGTAACCTCTTTCCAGTTTATGGCAAACTTCTTTTTGAAGTGAGTTCCGATAATAACTATATCGTCATACTCCTTCTTGCCTTTGGGATCACATGAATCATTTTTCCCACTGCAAGGCAATGCGTATCAGGATGTCCTTCTGAAACAACAATTATTCCATGGTCATTCTCTGAACGGTCTGATTACAATTATACTTAGTGCTGGTTCCATTCTCCGCTGTCTGTGGGGCAACGCTCTAGTTCGTTTTTCCCGGTTACGGGGGACCTACCCAATCGTGTACTTCGCAACATTCTGAAGCAAGTGGGTGAATTCGCTAGACGCAGATCTTCGGCTTCCCCTTCTTACTAGTAGGGGAGTCGCTTCGACGTATCGCGTGTGCACTAATAGCAAGTGCAGCTGAGGAAATACTTTCTTCCTTCTCCTCGTCGAGCTCTCTTTGATGGGGCATCTTCATCGGTTGGCTGTCCGGATCCCATCGGTTCATGTTGACGCTTAGGATTGACCGGCCCCGGATTCGTTACCTTCGGGTCCGTGTTAGCTGGGGGACTGTGCATCTATCTCTTCGACTTCGGCGCCCAGCTCAGTAACTGAAAGAAGATATACTTTCTCTAAATATCAAGCGGCTCGGGATTGGGTGTAGGAAGTATCACGTTGATACCAGCATTTCCTCGATCTGTCTTCGGTTCGAGGTCCGAGTTAGTTTTCGATCTGGAAATATGGGGAGCACAATTCGTTCTTTCCTCCAATCCACAAAACCAACGTTTCAGATCGACATGGAGCGAGCCCAGGCAGCTGTTGGTTAATTCCGGACGGGCAGTCCCATCACACGCACGTGGCTTGTTATAGAACAGACACAAAATAATATTATAGATCGGCTATGGAGCTATTTTTAAGGGTTGGTGGCATAGTGGGTTATAGCATTTGTCTAATACACGGAAGGTGCTCAGTTCGAGCCTGGGTCAACTCTGTCCATGATGAGATACGTTAACCATATGTTCTTTTCTTTTTTTGAACTTCGTGTACCTAAGGGGGTTGTTACAGGTTTTCTTGTATGCAAGTTCTTTGAGAATGTCAGTGGCAGCAGTTGGTCTTGCCACTCTCGCCTGAGGCAAGTGGTCCCTGTTTCTTTTGCAAGTCATAATCCTTCTACCTTTCATTAACGTACTTGTACCATTAGCTGTAAGAGCCATAAAAATAACCGAAGCCTGTTTTAGAAATACGGCGAGATATATAAACCCACTTAGGATTATAAAAGTCCATCCGTTCTGCACAGAAATAAGGAAAGTAGCAGCAAGATTTAGGTATACACCCGAAGCCTCTCATCTTCCATAATTTGACCATTGGAGTTATTTGGACTCACGACATCTGCACAACCATTCTCGAAAAGTTCGTTGCCGGAGCGCCGCCCCTGCATATTGATTCTAAAGCCTGTCTTTCCACACGACTATCCTTTGACTTGGGCAAATTCTTCCCCTCTAATTTTCAACTTCCAGAGTTTCACCTCGACTTTCATGGCATCCTGGGTCTCACCACAGAAGTATAGATTTGCTCCTCGCTCTGAGTCCCTCAGCAGGAATACCTCATCAGATGATCGCAAGTTTCTTCATCGCAATCTTGCATACCATGATTCCGTGGACTTCCTACGCATTTCACACTTAATACGAATGAACAACTTGTTCTCTGCGAGCCCTTAAGGACAACCGCAGGACCAGGAGAAATGCGACCAAGTGCAACTCAGAACAGGAAAGGACTCAAGCTGTGACCCACGCCGCCCGGCAATCGCCCTTCCATCCGACACTCCAGTACTATGGACCCGGGACATTGCGCCGGTATCACCACCACCACCACCACCATTGAGCAGGACAGCGTTCCCGTCCTCATTTTCACTGGTGTCCTCCCTCACTTCCGAGTCTCAAAATTTTCATTGTCCACGCCTACCGGTAGCTGACGCCGTTCCGAAACAGTGAGTAGGCTGACTGGCTTTCAAGCAGACTAAATGGACCCCCTGGCCATTCTTCAGCTTGTTACGCTTTCAGCATGTTGGCATTGGAGTCTCTTTATCCACAGGCCTTCGAGGCTGAACCTGAACACCTAATAACACTGCTCCTTCGTAGGAAAAGGCCCTTGTTGGATGCTGACACGGAGCCAGACGTGTCCTCGATCGAAGAGCATATCGATACCTTTGAACGTGAAATCCTCAGTCTGGAGAAACAAATCACCCTGCTGATACACCAAAAAGAGCAGCTCGAGCGTTCAGTTTCCAGGCGCAAAGGACTGCTGTCGCCTATCCGTCGTCTTCCAAGTGACATTCTTCTGGAGATATTCTCTTGGGCTATTCGTCGTCCCAAGAACAGCCTCGATGTCACCGCGGGCGTGTGGCCTCTGAGCCAAGTCTGTGGATGTTGGCGAGACATTGTATCGACCTCACCCGTCTTATGGTCTGTTGTCATTTTGAAACCCCCATACACGCAACACTCGGCGGATATCCTAGCCTACCACTTTCGTCATTCTGAAGAGCATCCGTTGTGGGTAGCAATAAGGGTTCACTGGCATGAAGGCGGCTACTCCAAGGGCTACGACCATGGTGGTCGTGTCTTTGATATGGTCCTCGAAAAATGCGCGCTGTGGAAAATGGTGGACATCCTTACACGATCAAAGGACCTGGTGAAACTTTCCTCTGTATCAGGAAATATTCCTTTGTTGGAGGAGTTGTACGTTTCTGCCTATGAAGCAACGCACTTCAGCACAAATGCATTGTCCTCGGCACCGTCTCTTCGATGCGCGGATGTCGAGACGCTGGAGGTTTGCGAGATGCCGTTGAATTCTAGCTTCCTTACACATTTTTCAGTAACATTGTGTCGTTTGGCGGACATTTGGTAGATTGCCCAGATCGAAATTGTTATCCTGTGTTTCAACGAACCAAATAGACCTCAGGACTCTGGAAATCTGTCACCCGTTCGAATGGAACAGCTCCAGTGCCTGACCGTCAATGATGCGAGGATACTGGACACTCTTAGTACTCCATCGCTGACAAAATTTGGTTATTGTCCGGGCTTCATATCAAATGAGGATGATGCCGATATTCATTCGCTTCGAGATTTTCAGGCGCGATCCGCCTGTTCCATCGAGTTTTTGGCCATTTACCCAGAGGTCATCCAAAATATTCATCATCTCACGGCCTTTACAGAAAATGTCAGTTCTTTGGCAGTGATCCACTACATAAAGGACCATCCTGCCGCCTCACTGGATCAGTTAACTCTGCCTGGAACCTTTCCCACGATGGAGACTCTGATACTC